CTGCCAGTGAAAGAACTGTGGGTGGGAGGTGTCTGGTTAGGACAGCAGGACCAGTGAAGCTACAATCTGTGCGGAATTAAAGTGTGTCAATTCAGAACCATGTGCTATTAAGGGAGTAGGTGACGGAGTGGTTGAAACATGACAGCCTCCCACACAGCCACCTTCTGAGCACACAGAAATAAATTTATTTAGTAATAAAAACATACATGGAGGTCTGCACTCCTCCACTGCCTGTCTCCAAATTTAGATTCCCCATTCAGTTTAGTGTGCCCTTGCTTAGCAAAAATATGTTCCATTCCACTTTTGCCTCTGTAATGCTTATCCGACCTTACAAAATGAGAGCTATCCTGGATCTGTGTTTCATGTTTTTTAGAACTAGATGGGTTCATTATGTGGAGCTGTATTTGGCATAAGGGGCACTCCCATAAAAGGAAGAAAGGACATCTGCTAGCTCTGTCCCGTGGGGGTGGCTTGAATTAATTGTTAATTTCAGCTTGCTTCAGTGGCAGATGCAGTACATGCCTTCTATACCCCCTTTTCTGTGCTTGAATTATTGGGGGTGGGTATGAGGTCACAGGGTTCTTGATAAAATCTATCATCTCCTTCTCTGAACTCCAGTTTTAGTCAAACCATGCCCTACCATTATTACCTATAGTGGTAGGAAAAGGGGACATTGTAATAGGCAAATCATTGCTTCTTACCCAGTAATACTAGGGAGGGAACATTGGAAAAAAAGCAAGGGGGCTTTGCCCTGTCTGACCCCACCCCCCATAATTGCACCAGTGCTGCAGTTGCTTTCCCTAGGATCAAAAGCTTGCTCTGGGTTTAAAGTTGACTGTGCCACCAAGGTAACCTGCATACATTTTTTTCTGGGGACTTCCTTGTATTTGGAATCACAGGAGCATGAAGAAAGTTAAGCTAAATCAGTCATTCTTCTTTGAAAGTAACCCCCTTTCTAACACCCTGGATATTAAAAAAAAAAAGCCTAATGTCCCCCTTACTTTCCCTGCTTTAGCAAATAAGGTTTACTAATTAACTAAATCAACACTTTCCAAGCTTGTGACTTCTCACCTTCTCTTGTTCTACCTTTTCCCCAGCTTTTTGTGCCGCTGTGATTCTGTGATGAAGAAACTGCCAGCTTTTCCTTTCTACCCGCCCACTCCTGAATTACTTGGTGTTCTGAGATCTTAATGTAGCCAGTGGTCAAATAAAGGGCTTCTGAATCCTTAGAAATCTTTGCTGCTTTACTCTATGCTCTTTTGTTGTCTGGAATTCATAAAGGGAAGGAGTTTCTAGTCACTCCTTGGTAACCGGCTTATGCCTAAAAGCCAGCCTATCAGGAGGGAGAATGCCTAGGCTACAGGTCTGAAAAGTCATTGTGCTAAGCCATAGAACTCCCCACTGTAGCCATGATTCTGTCGAGCTTTCTGATAATGCTCCCCTTGTTTTCAACGCTATAAGGGAACTTTGCAATAGAATGAAACTGAGATCTTTTCATGGTTTTCAATTTGTGTAAAAATGTAAACTGGCACAGTGTCCGAGAGTTAGTGGGACTGCTTTTGGGCTTCTTTTTTTATAGCCAGATGTGCTAATTTAGTAGATCTTTGCAAGGATGAGCTGTCTTGAAACAAACCTGTTTCACAAATAGATCTGTGCATGACATCAAATAGTACTTAATGCACTTTCTGCCCTGTGGTTTGTGGGTTACTCTGCAAGGTTTTTCTAGGAGTATTTTTGCATATGGAGAAGGAAGAGGACTGCCATGTCCTGAAGAGTGAGAGATGGAAGCATGTAAAGAAATGTAAATACTCCTATACTTTCTTATGATTGCAGTGCATGACAAAGATAATTGGGGAGGAACACGACAGGCAAATAGCAGCTTCAGAGAAATGGCCTAAAATGTTATTCAATAAAGCTTTATTTTGAGTGGCTAATTTATATATTACGAATTGTATTTTTGACTATGTTTATTTATAACGGAGTCTAAGTTCAGTTGGACCCAATCCCAGAAAGGTGTATTGCATTACAATTCTTCTTAGATAATTGTCTATGCCATATAGGTTTAATTAAGTTCACATTTTCAGTTCTTGTGAAATAATTTTAATACAGACATGTTGGAAATTTAGTATGATTCAGTGGAAAATATGTATGAATCAGTGGAAAGAAAGTATGTTCCCTGTTAATCCACTGTCTTTCATCTCCAGTAGTACTGGAAATGAATAGTCATATTCAGCCAACTAATGGTGAACTCATTCTTCAAATGTGGATCTTTATGTAGCTAAAGCAGCACATCTCACACATCATAGAAGGGTTGAGAAAACCCCCAAACTTGTGGAATTTCAGACATCTTGTTTGGTAAGGGAAAAGAGGGAGCATCCGGAACAGCCCAGTGATGATTTCGTGACCATACCAGCTCATGGTTGAGGAGGCAACAGAAAGTAGGGATGGAAAGGAAGTAGGGGTGTATCTTGGAAAAGGATATGGCTGGCTGTGATTGTGAATAGGAACGCTTTGCACCACAACGTTTTGCTTCAGGGCCATTGTGTGCATCCTAGTTCTTGATAGCGTTGGCACCGTTGGCATTCTCTCTGTTGTACTGGTACTTATTATCAAGACCTTCTGCAGGGCAGGGAAAACATTTGATTCTTTTGCCCTGGCATCTTAGTGGCAAATATGGATACTTTGGTTTCCTAGGGGCTAGGTACCCTTGAAATGTGTAGACCTGAGCCGTAGATTGAAAAAAGCTATACAGCAGCTTCTGGTTCTTATAACTAAAGATCGGAAGCATTTCTGTGTCCAGAGTTGCTCATAATGCTCAGGCACTGTCTCATAAGTGTTTCCTGCCCGTGTTCTTATTGCCACCACTGGTGTGACTTTCTCTAAGGAAGAACATCTTAAAATTAGCTTATCTGACTATGTATCTCCAGTAATAATGTTGTCTACTTTGTTTTGAGCAGAATTGTGCCATTCTTGATTCTGCATTATCCCTAAAATATAATTTGTAGTGTTATGTTTTCTGAATAATGGGAGCATAGCTCCATGATAGCACATCTGCTTTGATTCCAGAAGGTCTCGGTTTAAGTCCCTGGCATCTCCCAAGAAGGTCTGGGAAAGGCCATCTGAAATTCTGAGGAACTGTTAGTATATACAGTACAAAACTGGTTGGACCAATTATCTGACTTTGTATAAAGCAGCCTCTTGTATTCCTAAAAGAGCATTGCTGAACAAACCTGATTGTGTTTTGTTCTTTGTTCTTGTGTGCGAGTGTGGTTTTTTTTTTTTTTTTAACCTTTTGTCGCTTGGTAAACATTTGCAGATATGTCCTTTGGAATATTTGTAAGGCTGTGTGATTTCTCACCAAATGTCTGGGTGTGTGAAATGTAATCTGTGGATTGTCTTGCATGTGTGATCTGTTTCTCACACTATACTGAAGAAAATAGAAGGCAAAGCTTTGCAAAGAAATGTTTGAAATAGGGAGCTTATCAAATTGTTTCCTGTTCTTTTCAACAGGAAACAACCTGTTGTTAACAACTGCGGCTGCTACTAGCCTTACGTTGGCCCCTCAAATCTCTCTTCAGTTGGCAGGCAGTCTTACCTTAGACCAGATCCGAAAATGCCTGGGTCACACACCTCTGACCAGCACTCATGTTTTTCAGTAGCTTGTTACTGTATTTTTTCCAGCTAAAATTCCAAAGATGAAAGAACTTAAATGATTTTTTCCCCACCTAAGAAATGCTGAAGAAGTTATCATTTTCAAAATGACAAATGGTTTTGCATATCACTCCTGAAACTAGCTGTTGATGCTCATTTTTATATTCTGTATTAATTTAATCTCATGTGATTCACGTATTTGTGGAGTTGCAATATGATTAAGCCAGTGTTTTTCCAGCTAACAATAGGTAAGCAGAGCAACTTACAGAGTGTTACCTTTTCTTCATAATACAAAGTGCAGCCATTATTTCCTGTGAATATCATCTTCTGTCTTTTCTGCAAAAGCTGAAAGGTTTAGAGTATCAGCTTTATGGAGTTTTCCATATCAATTAACTAATGGAAAGCGGACCATTAAGGTGAAAAATGTATCAAATGGAATTATGGTAGCCATATTGGCTTGTAATATTACAGAAGACTTCTGAAAGATTCTGCAACAGTAAATTTGACCACTCTTTCATAGGCAGTCCTTTGTTTTCACAAACTGCTGTCAACAGAAAAAAAGCAAGCTAATGGATACCCAGATTTCTTGGCTGTGCTGTTCTCCAACCCCGCTATGAATGTGGTCATGTTCTCTTTTGCCAACATGAAATTAAGTTTTAAGGCTTCTAATTAAACATGCCTATAACTACAGACTGGTTTTCTCTTCTCTCTTGTGGTCAGCCAATTAGGAAACGCCTGCCTGCAACAAAGATAAGCTTCTGTTCTGTCACTCTGGCACCACGATGTTTCATTAAACAAAGTTCTAGTGAGTTTTTCCCAGAATGGGCCATAAGATGGGAAGCGAGCATCTGGAAGAATATACAGTGGTGTAATTTCACCAGCACAATTGTATGAAAGTAATCAGGAAAGAAAACAAAACTAGCCATACAAAGTATGTCCTATGGCACACTAAGAACTGATAGAGTTAGGATGGTGTAAGTTTGCTTTGCCCTTTTTTTATTAGAACCCAGTTAAATTAGAAGTGCAAAATGTCCTCTGTGTACATTTTGGAAAAACAAGTTAGGTGACATCAGCATTCGTCTATAGGGGGGGGTCCTCATCCTTTTTGGAGCCATGGGCATGGCTCCGTGGCAGCCGTGGCCCCATGTCGTATGGTGTCTGCCACGTAAGGGCTGACTAGTGAAAAGTAAGCTGAAGAGGGTAGTGAGGGGTGAGTAGCTTCAATGGCAGAGGCTAACGGGGAGGAGAAAGAAGGATGAGGAAAGAGAAATAGCATGGCTAGAGATGGGGAGTTGTGAGAAAGCGAAGGCAAAAATTCTGGTTGGGTGGAGAAAGATTAGGTAGGACCAGAAAGCAAATCCTTTTTCCTCTGTGCTTGTCCTTCAGAAGGTACGAGAACAGGAAGGGGAACCTGGCCCCCTGATGGTTTACAAGGTTGTTATCAATAACTTTTTGAACCAAGAGCACCATTGGAAGCCCTCCATAGGGATTACGGTGCTGCAGGCAGCGCATTGGGAAATCCTGGTCAGTATCTGGTCTTGGGCAAAGCGTGCAGTGCATGAGCTGCTCTTGATGTGTGAATAAACCCTTCGATGTGTCCGGTTAGAGCTTGCTAACGTGGTGGTGCTGGAATGCAGACTACGGGCTGTTCAGGAAGCCAACAACCATTCCTCAGTTTTTTCCACCCAAGTGTCTGAGTATCGCTTTGAAACCGACCCTAAGTATCTTTCTAAGTCTTAATGAGTGATTCATCATTTAACTGTGTAATGCATGTGAAACCTGTTCCAGTTCCCAACTTTATGATGCACTTTTATTTCTCAAGAGGAATAGTAGATACTCAGAATTTTGCAGGTGAATCAACATACTGAAATTGATCTTAGTAGTGCTAATTCTGTAACATTCTGAAGCAGATTCATAGCATGAAATAAGGTAGTTCTGAGCCTAGTGATGTGAGCATGATCTGCGGAGGGTGTTCTTGTGAAGGCTTTCGCACCGCATATGTCCAGCCAGCTTCCTGGCGTGATGAAAGTATTGCTTGAAGGTTTTTGTTAAGAGCAGCCACCATCTGAAAGTAACTTGATCAAAAAGAAGCTGAGCTGTTGTGGCATTTGGCAGGGGTTTTTCCTCTGCACTCTTGTCAACAGAGGTCACTTCCAGCTGCATAGATCCATGTTTGGATCAGGGAGGGGACAGAAACCAGGATGTGCTTTGTTTGCAGACAACAAAGAAACCTTTGGGCATTGAATAGCAGTGGGATGGGAATTGCACTTCAGTTCTTCCGTGGTTCAGCATGGATGAAGTCTCCAACCTTTTTGGACCCTTTGCTCAATGTTAGCTGCAGCTGGCGAGCCTTTTACATTTTAAATAATTTGTACATCTTCCTTTTGTCTCTGGGGTGCCCAGATGAAAAGAAGTATGCACCTTTAATAGTGGCATGAAGAGGAATGTTGAATAGAAAAAGCTTGTAGGACAAGAAGCTGTGAGTGCTTTAAGTCCCTCTGCTGCACACCTGTTATAGGTACAAGAGCCTTGGTCACTTTTAGATCTGAATGCCCTTTACCAACCTGGCATCCTGCAGATGTGCTGGACTAGAGCTCTTAGCATCCTCTGGCCAGTCATGCAGAATTGGCAGTAATGGGAGCTGTTGACACAGAATAAATACTGTCAGTAGATTAATAGTTCTGAGAAAAATACATACTGTCTGATAAGTTAAATAATTTTTTTTGCTAATACTTCCCCAAATAGGAAGGATTTTCCGCTCTATCCTAATGGAGTGAGTGGTAGTGAATTAAAATTGATTTTAAAAAATAGTGTTGCTTTACCTCATTGAGTGGAATGACACAAACAAGGAAGTGATCAAGTGGCTTTGAGAGGGGCACGTTAAATGGGTGTTGTTATTTCTGCTCTTTAAAATATTATCCTAAGTTGCTTATGTACGGTGTCTAAAAGTTGCTTGGCCTGTACAAAATTTGTCCCATGCCATTCTGCAACTCTAAGCCAGAGAGACAGTTCTTGTGAAATCTGTTCCTGACCAGACCTTCATATTTCTCTTCAGTGGTGAAATATGAGTTGAAGTATTGCTAATTATTTATATCACAGCATCAGTATGCACAGCTCTTCACAGAGCAGAAAAGGACAAGTCCCTGTCCCTGAGTTACGTATAATCGAAAATCTAACACAAGGGAAATAATAGAGAAAAGGGGGAACATAAAACAGGATTACACAAGAAATTATGTAACCCTGCCTTTCAATTCTAGTCCTACAAGTATTTCCCAAAAAGAATAATGCAATTACAAAACCTTATTTTTTAAGCTACAAAATACAGTTTTAATGTTTAGATTTGGTTTTTACAGGCTTTGTTGTAGCTGGGCACGGGAACCTAGGGACTGAACTCAAGTCTTCACAAGAAAGGCAACGTTTGAGAAGAGATTTGAAGAAAGTTGAGTGGTGACATCACACAGGTGTTTAGGGAGGTGGTTCCAGGCATGCTGACCGGAAGGGAGAAAGGTCTGTCTTCAGTGGGAACACGAGGCCTTCAAATGTTTCAGAATAATAGAGCTGGACAGTCAGAAGTCTTGAGCATCATGTATATATCAAGATAGAAGAATGGAGATAATGACAGTGAAGGTTGTGCTAACTCCAGGTATGCCAGAACTGCAGAGTAACCAATAAACTCAGAGGCTCACGTGTACACAGAAAACTTTGGTTCAGGGAATGTTCACTGCTCTATAAAAGCACAAGAACTAAATGTGCAGCTTAAGCATTGGGACGGACGAGTCAGGATTAATATTAAACAGCTGCTATTCCAGTAAGAAGTTAGAGCATTTGTGAATCCCCTATTTTAAAAAAATCACTGGAAACGTTGACAGAATTCCTTGCTGTAACGTCTGCCAAAGCAAGATTATGATTATAACTAGATCTGCCAGATTGTGGCCAGCAGTTGGGATTAGTCTGTTTGAAGCATCACATTTCACAGGGTATTTGCAGTTGGACCCTTAGTTGTTTCCTATGGGGCAGCATTGTTTCCCACAACTCTACTTGGCAAAACCTGCATGTGAATCACTTTTTGTAGTTATCTGGTAATTTTGTGGTAGGAAAACCACTATTTTGCGTATATCAGCTTTTCCCTTTCTCCACTCTTCCTTCAAAACACAAAAGAAAGTGCATGCTTGTGGGAGGGGAGAAGGTCAGAACTCCATATGGCAGCTGGTAGCTATTTAATGGGGTTATTACTTAATCATAACCTACAGTTAAAATACCCAGACTCCCCTCCTCCTCTAAAACAAGTCAAGGCCTGATTTCGAAGCATATCTAATTTAAAGAAGCCAAATAACTCTAGTTTCAACAGAGAAAAAAGGAGAAATCCAATTGCCTCAGTCAGTATGATTTATCTGCTTACTTAGAGGATTCTAAAGCAAAGCAAAATGCAAACATGTCAGTCGTGCTTCATAGTCTCCCGCACAAAAGACAAAGGGAAACGGTATCTCCAGTTTAACACAGAAACATAGAAAGTTGGTGGGGTTTGCAGATGATAACAGGAGATTGGACATTCAGGGCATGTGGGTGAGCTGCCTGGAAAGCATCCCTTTGCCAGCCAGGATTGGATCTTGATGTCGAAACCCAGGCCACTGGGTGGGTTAGACGCTAAACAGCCTAATGCTCTGGGCTCGGACATCATGTTCAGCAGGAGCTGATTGCGGGTGGCTGAATAAAAGTAGAAGAGGCGAGTGTGCCGCAGGGAGCATGCATGTGCTCTCCTGCCGGTGCATAAAAACCGTGTGGTCTTTAAATAGCGGTGCAGCCTGGGCCAAGCCAGAGCACCCAGTCAGAGCCGCTGCAGTGGTGCTTCAGCTCTCCAGGGTTCCAGAGACCGAATCTGGGATTCCTTCCCATGATTGGCTGGCCAGGTGTGTGCGCCGATCCCAAGCCACAGCCTCTCTAGGCTTGGTGCTTTGGCTGACATCTCTGTGCTCCAGAGCCTATTGATGCATAAACAGGGCATGGAAGCAATGAAAACAGTTGGAAATTGTCACTAGGAACCTCTGGGGGCTTGCGTTTTTCATAGACACTGTCAGCTTCCCGGCTTCGTGGTGCCCGGGTTAATCCGTGTGGTTAATCACCTTCAGTCTGGGCGTCTGTATTTGCACTGGTGAGAACCAGCAGCTACATTAAATGCAGAATTAGGGTTAGAAAAACAAGGTTTTCTGTTAAGATTATGGTTGGAATGTGTTTAGAATGGGCAGAAATGATGAGCTCAAGGAAATCTTTTTCAAAATCGCTCCATATTCAATGGTATTTTATCCCTTTATTAGGGTTAGGGGTGTGCAGTCTGTGCCTGTTCTTGATTCAAAGTGTTTCTTGTGCAATCAGGAGCCAACCTGTGTTTCAAAACCAGCTCCTGAGGGGCTTATCTATCTTCAACTAAGTAGTTCTTTCTCACTGTTTTGGCAGGTCTCATGGAACTTTCATTAGGTGGTAAATTTTCTTGTGCTTGGCTTACTTCCATTATGCAGCAGTGTTCCTTTGTGAAGTTTGGGTCTGCTCCAACCATGCCATGTTTTAATGCTAGTGGGGTATATTGGCTAGACCATTGGACTAAGATTTAGGGGATCTGAGTTCTAATCCCCACTCAGCCAGGGAGCTTACTAGGTGACTCTAGGCCAGGCACAGAATCTCAGCTTAAGCTTCCTCACAGGATTCTTGTGGGAATACATTGGAGAGGAGATGAATCTTATAAACTGTGTTGGATTCCTTGCAAGAAGAAGAAAGACCAATGCATGAATGTAAAATAATAAAAATGCAATAAAATAATGCCACTTATAAAATTGCCTTTTCAATTGGCCTGTAGTTGGCTTGCAATTTGCCTTGATTCCAGGCTGGCTTTTTCATGCATTTCTTCTTCACATTTGAGTCATGGTGTAGAAATTGTATAAATACCAAAGCTCCCACACAAAATTCATGGGAACATAAACTCTTCCTCTTCCTTGGTCAGTGAGGGAGTGGGACAGGGAACAAAGGGTTAACTGCCCCTCCTCCATGGAAGCCAAGGCCATCCACGTCATATTTGTGTCCCAGAGGAAGGAGAGGAACCTCTCTCCGTTTTGGCTCTGCCTCCTCCAGAAGCGGTTTGTAGCCAGTTTCTGTGGGAGCACAGACCCCTTTTCTCTTCCTCACGCTTCTGTCAGTTCTTAGGCAGGGGTGTTAAGTTTTCCTATATTCAGGGCAGAATATAAGTCCAGGGGTGCAGGAGAAAGTTTCTCTCCCTCCTGCTTCCCTTTCTCTCTTTTTCTCCTCACAAAATCTTATTAAATATATACATGGAGAGAGGGGAAGGACTATTTTTATGGCCTGCAGGTGTCCTCCCCAAGGAAATTTCCCTTTGCAAGCAGCAGCCAGGGGTACAGAGTGAGAGCAAGAAAATGCACCGTTCCTAAGCTTAGGACACATAGGAACGCAGACCAAACCTTGCTTGGTTTGACTGGGCAAAAGACATTTTTTATCATATTCCTGCTTTTCTTCCGAACTGTAATTTGGTGTTTTGTTGCAGCTTGCAGGAAAAGGCCTTGGGGTACATAGGTTAATGAGAATGAATTGCTTCCTCCAAAATTAGGCAGCCCAACCTCAGTGATATAATTGGCTCCTTTAGGCGCACATAATGGAGTCATGGATTCTGGTAATAAAAAGGCCAGCTATATAACAATTTCTTTCTTGCTAACACCAGATACCGACTGAGTGAAGTTTTACATGTCAGTGAATGCACCACCTTTTCTGTGGGACTGTTTCCCCACAGAATTCATTAACAGGTTAAATTCTCTCACCAGGAGTTTTGAATCAGGATGAAGGATTTTTATCACACTACATGTGCTAATTGGCTTACCTAAATACCAGCATATTATTTATCAGCCCTGTTTTGTGAATAGTCAGGCAGTGATGGCAGTGATGTGATTGCCAGTCGGTGTTTTTTGTATTTAATTTCCTTCTGAACACACCATTTGCAATTCTATTCCCACCTCATGGTGTTGTGTGTATAGACTTGAAATTTGGTAACTAATGAAGTGGGCTATAATACATGAAATGCAATAGCAAAATAAATGTGCTAGTCTTTAAAGTCCCACAAGGCTGTGTTGTTTTTCCTGCTCATTATTTCTAATCTCTGACGAGCTGGTGAGCCTTCCAGCATGGAACACAAACCTAATGTTTTAATTCCTTATTCCTAAAGGAATCATTTCAGAAAAATGATATGCCTTCTTGCTATTTTGGAAAGCATTCATTTACCTGTGCAACATAGTTAGGTTGGAGAAATCTAGTAAACTTTATTTAATGGTCCCGGTAGATGGAAGCTACTTGCAGAGTCGCTCTGTCTGTCTGTCTGTCTGTCTCTGTCTCTGTCTCTGTCTCTCTGTCTTCATGTATCCCTATATCTGCTCCATTTACAGAGCCATGAATAGGCTTTACATGGGAGCCAGGCCACAACGTTAATACACTGGATTCCACAAAGCCAAGTGTCTAGAGCAGGGGTGGAACGACACTTTTCTCCCTCCAAAGCCAAATCTCCGTGCAGGAAATCTTTCAAGAGTCACAAGTTGGTCGTGTGTAGGCCTCAAGCCTGTGGCGAGCGGGGCCAGAGTCCTCTTCCGCTGTTTTTCGCCTTCCCCTTTTCTGTGCAGCCTGCTGCCACGAAAGGGGCAGAACTCTCTTACCATGGGTCTGAACCAACTGCATGCAGGGGACCGTATGGAATTCCGCTGCCATTTGCTGTTTAATAATAGCAATAAAAAAACAGTCCTGCACTGCCTTAATTATACCGTTGAAATAAGGAAAGCTTGGGGTAACTAGGCATTGGTGCCTATTGAAGGACTGTGAACTCTTCTTTAATTATGTACCTCAAGACTAATTCCCGGGCTTAGAATTCTTTAAAAATATCTCTTTTGCACCAAGCTCTGAGTAGTGGGACTTGAGACTCTAGAAGAAAAAAAAAATCAAACTAACAGCCGATCTTCCAAGCCTGACTTCTGCTTATCCTTGTGTTAAGAGATGTGCAACAGGGAAGTTTAGAGACAAGTGTAAGACCAAAGGACCCCAGGAGAAACCCAGTTCCTATTTCCCACAGAGGCCAACAGATGCTCCCAGGAATTTCCATTTCTCTTGTGGATCTTTCAGCAGCATTTAGCCCTATCAACAGTACTGGATCAGAATGGGGGTTTGTGTGAGTCAGTTTAGACTTTAATGTGGCTTTCAGTATCTTGGTGGAAGATGTTGCGGCTGTGCAGAGCCCGCTGTGTGCTGCTTTCTCTGTCCTGTGGAGGAGGGAAATTTCAAGGATGGGGAAATTCTTGTGCAGTTGCCTTTCCACAGGGTCATTACATGACGCTTAGGATACCTGACTTCTCTTATTTTCTTCCCTTTTCATCTTGCACCTGTTAGGTTGAAAACTTTTCTGTTTAACATGTCTGCAAGGCAAAAAGATTGTGTGGGTGGATATGAAAGTGCCAGAAGTATGACAGTGAAGGTGTGCAGTCTCCTCTGAGGGCAGCGTATGTGCATGTCATAAAGACCTCTTTATCGGATGTGTATAATCAAGGAAATGGGGCCTTGTTTTCCTTATCCCATTAAGAGAAACAGTATCCTGCTGTTCATTCCAGCTGACCAACTGTGCTCCGATTCTCCAGTTTCGCCTTTGATCCACTGATCTCATTATGAAGTCTCAAATGAGATGCTGCCAGGCCGGCTTGCTCCGTAGTATTTGGCTTTTGAAGCAGCCTTTAAATTGTGTTGCCGCTTTCCTCACTCATGTCTCCCTTAGATTAAAATGGTAGTTTTATCTTCGCAAATGAACCTTTCTGGCCAGTCCAGATAATCCGAGCAATGGTGTTTCCTTCCCTTCTGCTAATCAACTTAAGTATCATGTGCTTGCATTGCTCCTTTTCATTTCAAGAGGTTTATGTACGAATTCTTCCTAACAGATTGTGCTGATAGGTCAAATCTGTATTTCCTGCTCGGTGCTTTTTTGGGTGGGGGTGGGGCTGTCATTTTGTATTGTAGCATATACTGTCTGTTAACTGTTCACCACCCAGCGAGCTTTTACGGCTGGACTGTACAGAAAATAGATGAACAAACAAATTCTGGCTGGCCCCTGGATCATACCAGTTTGTGATCCCCCTACTGGCTCATTGTGCAGAAATTAAAACCATGGTGCACCTTGCTTATATATGTAGACTCTAACAGGCATGACCTGCAATGCACGCGGAAGCAAATGCAGGCAGCTGTTCTTGAAGTTGCATGACTTTATAATGACCCACTGGAATGGAGACAGTTTTGGGCAGGAGAAAGGGTACATGGCAGCGCATCTCCCAGCCACCCCCTTTTTGCAGCTGCTTGTAGACGGCAGTTCAGGGAGAATGTTTACTTGTGACCTGAAATCTTAGAAATGCTCTAGCATCCACATTGGACCTCCAATTTAACCATCTGTGCACCTTTTCTTTCACTTTGCAGGCCCAAAATGTTCAGCTCAGCAAGGACATGACTCTGGCCAGCAATCGTAGCCTGGCAGAAGGCAACCTCCTGTACCAGCCAAAGCTGGATGGTCTGAAAGCCACCTTGACGCAAAAGTACCAAGAACTGCATCATCTCTTCGAAGCATATCAGATAAAGAAAACCAAGCTAGGTAATGCTTCTCTGGGGTGGCCAGTCCTTCCATTTCTGCATCTTCTCTCTTAAGTGTCTTACAATAAAGCCAGCATCCCGAGTTGGGGCCAGAAGCCTGTTTCCAGCCAATGAAATAATCTGGAATTGGTGTTATGTGATTAGTGATTAATCTGTGCCCTCACCCTTTACCTCACTACATTATGCTAACTCTAGTAACACGCTTAAGACTGGATCAGTGTAAAATGTTTCCTGCTGAGGCTGGTAACCCGAGCAGTTTCAAAACCCAGGCAGAATCAAAAGCAGTTTTCCAAGTAAACACATACAGGATAGGTTACAGGTAGGGCTACACCCGTCTTGTGAGTATCTGCTGCTTAGACACTTGGGCCCAGAAACTGTACCAAAACAGTTTGGTGCTTCAGTTGGAGAGACAGAAAGCAGGAGTTTCTCTGGGAAAGGAGAGGGTAGCCGGGACCCTGGGGAGAGCATGGAGGCCCTGGGGGGGGGGGGGTTGGAGCAGCCGTGCTGCAGTGGATGGCGAAGGGTGCTGTTGAAGAGGCAGAGAAGGGTCTGAAATGCTTTGCTTAGGAGACCTGTTCCTGACCTACCAGGGCATCCAGTTGAAAGCAAGTGATCTCGGACTTTCACCTACTTCAGGTAGGACCTCCTTGCAGTTCAGCCACTGAAGTCTGCTTAATGTCGTGTGCGTCGCACCGGGGCCAGTGCTCTTTGACCGTGTATGTTTCCGTTAGCCGCTCCTTGGATTCATGGCCATGCCCGTTTCTGCTCCATTTACAGACAGGCAATCCAGCAATGCCTCCCTGGAGACACTTCTAGCACTGCTTCAGACGGAAGGGGCGAAGATTGAAGAAGATACTGAGGTAAAGAGAATGAGCAGCACAGGCTGCTGCCTGTGGCACTGAAGGCATCCCCGTGCCGCTGGCTTCCCTGCAGCCTCTCAGGCTGGACTGAGCAGAGGCTTGCACACATTCTGTGCAGCTGGCCTGCCTGCCTGCCTGCCTGCCTGCCTGCCTGCCTGCCATTTCACCAAATCTTTCACCCACAGCACTTCCCCATTTAGCATAGTCCATGGCCTGCGAATGGCTTGGCTGGCTATTTGAAAAATTACGTCACCACATGTTCCTGTTTGTAGCAGATAGGGAAGCAGCAGCACTCGCACCTGGCTCCTGAGAAAGAAGCAATTCCGGGTATTTTTGATGCAGCTGGGGTGCAAATGTGCGCCAAGCACCTGAAAAGAGCTGGCGACTCGCCATCCAAGACAGCTTTCCCCGACTTGGTGCCCTCCCTCCGTTCTGGACCGCCAGCCAGCATCCCTGACTATGGGCCATGCTTGCCAGGACTGGTGGTAGTTGAAGGCCAGAACATCTGGAGGGCACTGTGTTGGGGATGGTGCTGCTGCAGGCAGGCCCAGTGCTCTCCTGGCTTCCCAGGCGTAGGATTCAGCCTTGGTGAGACAAGGCAGTAGGCGTGCCACTGTTGTCTTTCCCCAGCTGTTTTGCTTTTGTGAGCAAGAGGCAAATTGGTGGAAGGATCCTGATGCTAATCGAGGGTCGATGCCTCCAGAATGTGTCTCTCCCCCTCCCCCTTAACAATGTATTACTGTTTACGACAGAACATGGCCGAGAAGTTTCTGGATGGCGAAATTCCGTTGGACACCTTCGTTGATGAATACCAGAACCAAAGGAAACTGGCCCACCTGCGACGTGTTAAAATAGAAAAACTCCAGGAGATGGTGCTGAAGGGACCAAGGCTGCCCCCAGTGCCGCCGCAGCCAAGGGTGACCGAAACGCCGCCAGCACATCACCCCCCGGAGGCCAACACTCCTCCCTCTGTCGTGCCTCGCCGCAACCCCCCTCCGCCGCCGCCGACAGCAGCAGCCTCCCCGGGACGCTTCCCCACTCCGTTCACGGCCGCAGGGATCCCAGGACCAGCCGTCCCCTATGCAGGTGTCCCGTACCCACTGCTTCCCCCGCGAACAGGAATCCCCTCCATGAGTCAGGGGCCGCCAGCAGGGTACCCAACCCAGTTTGCACCACAGTGCCCCCCCGCGCTGCCCCAGAGACCTCCACCTCGCCTCCCGCCAAATCCTGGCTTCATTCTACATTGAGGACACCCTCTCCTAACGTTCGTATGTTGGTGCTGACCTTTTTACTCCTCAGCTTCCAGAAACAACCCGGGCTGTGGCAAGTCTCCAGTGCTTTGTGCCTAAGAGTACAAGAAATTAAGCTTGAAAACCGGTGTGTCATCATATCCTGCAAATGTTTTTGTTTGTTTGTTTTAAAGAATCGACATTGACATGAACCCTTCTTTGGAAGGGTGGTGCAGCTGTTGCGGTGGGGTCTTACCTAGGTTTGAGAGGAGATTTAGCCCATGCCTGCCATTTCCCTGGGGATCTCGTTTCCTTTCGTTGCTTGACTTGGATATGAAGAACTGCCAACAAATTCCACGGAAGAATCCCTGTTGCACATGCGCTAGAAGTACGGAACCACCGCGACATGGGGCTAGCTTGCAACGACTGTGACTCCATGGCTGTGTTTTTGGTACACAGCTTCTGTTTAAAAATTAATTTTGTAATTTTAGCTTAACCGTGGCGATAGCACCTGACGTGGGGACAAGTTGCTTCCATTGCTGATTTAATCATATTCATTTCAGTAAGTGACTGTAGGGGTGTCCCTGGATTGCCTTTTAAAGTGCGTGTATGGCGAGGGGGGAATCTGCCTCTTTTAAATACGTTAACCTCCAGAAAGCCTCAGGATTACACAAATTAGTCATAAACGGATCTGTATTTCCCTCCTCTTGATGGCTGACTTGTATTAGAAATACACAATCTGAGCCACTGGAGAATGTCCCTACCATTTTCCCATTATGATTCCTGATATCATCCTCTTACTAATTCCACCTTTTTATATCTAGATCTCTTTTTTTTGTTGTATGGTGCAGATGATGGCTCTCTTCTCCAAGTTTCCTTGTCATAACATGAAGGATATGCACGCTTCTAAAATTCTGGGTTTGTGACATCTTTGTGTTTCAGCAAGTTCCATCAGTCATATTTTGGGGTGCCCTTGGCATCTCTCTGATTTGGCTACTTAGTTCCTTCAGCTCATTATATCACTTTCCGGTGCCAAGCCAAGGCTCCCCTTCCTCATCGTAACTGATAACCTCAGGCGAGTTCGTGGAGCCGGAGAGACCCTCGTTCCGCTTGCATCTCTCTCTCATTTCAAACCTTTTGCTTGCTCACGCTAAAGGACTTCTTCCTTGAGGCGACGGGTGAGGAGCTTGTGGCTCTCTTGGTGGCCTACAGATCCCATCACCTGTGCCCATTGCCGATGCTGGCTGGGGCTGATGAGTGTCGTAGGCCAGAGCACGTGGAAAGCCACGCGAGACTTGCCCCGCTTTATATAAATCCTGCCCGCTAGGTTTTTCTATAATCAATAGAAAATTTTGCAATTGCAGCATCTTCAGCGTTTGACATTGAGTGCTGCTTTAATCCTTCTATGGCCGGCTCCTGGCATGAGATGGTCTGTGGCATCAGGGCAGACAGTGGCTAAAGAATATTCTGCATAACTTTTCCCTGCGTAGGGGTTCCTTCCACAAGTTGGGCAGAGTGGTAAATTCATTTAGGGTGCAATTCTCTGCAAATGTAGACCCAAAAAAGGCCCCTGTTTGCGGGCCTTTTTTCTATTTAAATCCACATGGAATGGTGTCCCTAGAGGATCTGGAAGGTCTTGTGTTTCAGCCGGGTCGAATTTGGGTGGAATTCCAGTGGGGTGGAACTTGCCGTTGAATTTGGTAGAAAACCGTTCTGTTTAAGCACTGAGCCTAAAGATTTCAAGGTAAATCATCCATGATCCCAGCCCAGGAAACCTTGTGGGTAGCTGGATTGTAAGCTCTTGCTGCCTTCCCTCTAAAATGCCCAGGAGCTTGGTAAGAAACAGATGTGGGAATTAAGGTGACTCCTCAGAAGGGAGCAAGGCTCAGGGTTGAAAAACGTGACCGACCAGTGTCTGTCGACTGCTGTCTGTCAGTGCAAGAGGGCATCACTAGTTCTGATCCCAAGCATTTTTCTTACTGTTTGTGCACAGTGTCTTGATTTTCTATACGGCTGCAAATTTGTTGAAGGACAACGTGCGTGAAACTACTGCCTCTTTCTGTTTTCAGTAGCCACCACAGTTTTCATGCAGCTCCTGGAGGGCCCAGGTACTGAATTCAGTCCTGCACCCAGAACCTGATCCCAGCCGTTGAATTATATGTTGTTGCCTGCATCATTTGAAAGCAACTGGAATGAGTATGACTTTAAAACCAGTGACCATGATCTAACCTTAAATTTGGGGCTTTTCCTTGGGCAGTGTTTCATCTACGTGGAATAAGATGCTGAGCTTGCACTGTGTTGCTTGAGAGTGTTCTGAAGGTTAGCAAAATGAGCCTTTCCAAAAGATTAGGTGTTCTTACAGGGAGCAGAATTGCAGATTTTGGAGTAGGCTTGGGCTAGTTTTCTGTTTTGACCTTGTCACATGTGAGAGCAGTGTGGAATTCTGGCCTTGTACTTCCTGAGCCAATGCGTATGATTTTTTTAAGAAACACGTGGCTGTTTCTCTCCACCACTGCTCCAGCCTGATTAGTTAAGTGGTTATCAGAACTCCTAGCCATGAACTCTGCTGAAATTAAGGAACAAGACCCAAACAGTGAAAAAAATTTTTTGGTTGTAGAAATAGCAAGAAAGCAATGTTTAGCTACCTATACTTGATTCCAGATTCAAGTAGTAATGCATTTTTGCCTGAATATGTCTTCCAGTCTTAAATGGATACCTGATCTGAAAAGAACCACCCCTAATTTGTGGCAGGGATACAGCTTTCAAACTAATCTGCAGCACTGTTCTAAGCAGGGGCATCCCTTAAAACACGGAGAGTGAGAAATCTGTAGTGCATCTTGAATCTGAAGCCAATTATGAAACTAAAACTGAAACATGAGTAGTCAGCTCCTTAAATCTGGCTAGCCATACTTCCTAAAGCGGAGGGAGAAATGGGCAACCACACAATGCAGATTTGAAGTGCGTAACTATTGTAGCAGCGTGTCGTTTACTGGCCTACTGTAAAGTTTTGCTGAGGGCAATTTTTGGAGACTGCTAACCTCTCCAGAAACAACTCGTGCATGCTAATCGGGATCGTCACGTATTCTCTGCTGATTTCTTTTATCCCTCCTTTCAGCACTACTTCCTACCAGCCTGTGATTCACACCCTATTTGTGATGACAGCATCTAGGTGCTGCTAGTTCTCTGTGTTACCTCAGCTATGAGGAATTTATATTCTGTCATATTTATGGTGTTCAGATCTTTGCCCTTTTTGATAAATTGAAAGGATAACGTAAGAGTAAATATAAAGCATGTCAGGCCTCTTTCCTGAAGCCATATCTTCTCTTTAAAGCTCTTCTCTTGCTTGTCTGTCACAAACCTGGTTCAATATGCATTTGTGCCATCTGCAAATCATGGCTTTCCTTTTAGAGGCCAAACACTTTTTCTTCCGTGGGGCAAGATATGTTTGGGTTAATTGCTTACAGGATTGCTTTAACTCTTGCTAAGGCAGCATCCCCAGGTCAGGTGGATCCTGGCGTGTGAACTGACTCCCTTTTGAGCTGGGTGGTGGCAAGAGCCTGACGAAATAGAGGAGTAAAGATTTCTGGAGGCCCATCATCCCTGACCTAGCGTACGCCCTCTCAGCACTCCATGGCTGGCAGTCACTTTATCTCTTGAAAAAAATGAAAAAAACGATAAAGTTATACCAGCGCTTACTCCGACCGCCTTGTGTATGTTTGATTCTGCCTTCATGAGCTCTTGAGCTTTGTCCTTTGGATTTTGTGTTGCTAATTACATGGGGTGTGACTGTTCAGAGGTCATGGCTTGGTGAAGTGGTTTTGAGAATTCAAGTAATGTTCACCCATTCCTAATTGGGATGACTCATGTGAGTAACTCCTGCGTTGAAAGAAGGTCTAGAGAGCTGAATGAATAGGAAGTCCTGATTGCCCACAGAGGTTGCTGAAGTGTCACGGCCAGCGGCTTGCCTGCCAGCCAAGCTTTTGCGCTCAGATGCCTTTGTGGGTTGGGAGGGAGGCTTGTGAAAGTCTCGCATATCTTGAAGGCCGGGGAGCTTGGTCACAGATGAGCGGAGGAGGCCTGGCCGGCAGTGCGCCCGCTTCTCCAAAGCCTCGCAGAGCTCGCCTTTAAATCAAGGGGCAAGCAGACCTCTCTTGTTTGCTGCTTCCAAAGTGAAAAGCGACGCGGGTGCCCATTGTGACTCCTTGCCTCGTCCGGATCACCCCTTTTCATTTAAGAGAGAGTCGCGTGCCGTGTAACGCTGGCTGTGGCCTTTCCGCTCCACCTGCCAAGCATCCTCTGCTTGGAAGGAAAGCACCAACTCCTTCCCAGATCAAGGCAGGGCCTGGCTGGACCTAGCGGGACGCTCGGGCCTTTGAATGACGTGCAGCAAACAGTGGGCCGTGTACACAGTGCGAAGTGGCTGGTTGCTGCCACGGCTTCTTTAGGAGTTGCTTTGGAAGGAGACAGTAGATTTTTCAGCCCAGGTTCCCTGGCGTTAACTAGGTTAAAGTGCATAAGTTTGTCCTGTAGGAGTAGCTTTAGATTGCAATTTCATATGTCAATTACCGGTTTATAGTCCGATTGCTAAAAGGGCATCTGAAACACAAGCGGAAATCATGAGCCGACCTGTGAATTTCACTTTGAATAGTTTTGTTTTTGAAGTGTTTCGTGACTGAGCTCTGTTTCTATCTAGAAATAGCCCTAAATGTACAATATTAAGTTTTTGGAAAATGCCTTTAAATTTTAACTTCAAATGGAAAAAAAAACCTTTTGCAAATGCTGAATTTTTCAGGGATACCTCATGCAGAAGAGAACCACAGAGCAGCTAGCTTAAACGGACACAGTTCTTCTACCCTGAACAAAGCCACTCGTGTGTGCCTTAGGGTCACTGCACTGCACGTGACTTTTCGAGAGAAGATGCCTGCATCTCTTTCCATTCCAATTGTCTGCTTCGAAGTGTTCCTCTTTACATTGGGAGAGTTGGCATGAAACTGAATGCCCTGTCGGATCAGATCGAGTCTGCTGTCTGCTCGCTTTTGGTGTGACACCTGGGGGAGGGGGAAGCCGGAGCCCCTGGGGCCGGGGTGGATCGCAGCTGTGGCCTCGGAGTTTCCCGGTCTCGGCACCCTGCCGAAACTCTCTTGGGGAGTGTAATCGCATTTAGGCTGGTGGCGATGACAAAATGCAGGGCAGTGTTCTCACAAGGGTTTCGCATCTACGTTAATCCCAGAGAGGGGGAGAGCTTTGCTCACCGCTTCAACATGTGCTGTTTGGAAACCAGAACTTTTGTGCCGTGCACACTTAGGTGTGAGGCCTGCAGCAAATGGATGCCTGTTGCAGTTGATGCGGGGAGTGGAATTGGCCCACGGAGTGGAGTGCGCGGGTCCTGCGGACACAGCGCCTGCCACTCGGCTAGAAGCAGGGCCTGCAGGTGAGGCATTGTGCTGACTCGGTGAGGACATGATGCTGGAGTCTGTTGCGGAAAGGTGGCTGGTTCGAGCATGATGCTCGCCCGCCTTGTTTCTTTCTACTCTGCACATGCGCCGCAGAAGGAGCTGATGTGGGAGGAGCCAGGTGTTCTGTCCGCCACCTTCTAGCAGCAGAAGCGGAGACAGACTCCAGCAGCATTGCGCTAGGAGCCGTGTAGTCCACGCTCGCTCCTGGGCTCGTTACCTTGCATTAAGATTGTATGTGCCAGCAGATAGCAAACACTAACTGAAAAGAACCAGTTCCTTTAACAAAATAGTTATAGAGCTCATGGAGAGAAGTTGAAATGTTGTTAGACTATAGAGTAAAACTATTTTCGTGTTCGGTTTGGGATATTACTTACTGAGCTTTTATATGAACCTTTGCAAGTGTTTTGGTTTGTTACACCTGTACTGTGCAACCTGTGCTGTTCAAAACTGCCCTTCAAAGAAGAGGCGCCCATGCCCTTCTTTGAGGCAAAGGAAGCCATGTTTTCCCCTGCTAAGAGGGAAATGAATAGCCCCCTTTTAACAATACAGCTGTCTTCTGTGCCCTTCCTCCGAGACTGCAGAAGGACATTTGAGCATGCAGATTTCACGATGTACATGCTCACCATTATCCCTGGCCTGTTTGGTTCTGGTGCAGGATGAGAATGTGTGAGTGGATTCTGCTCTCTTATCCGTTTATCCAGTGTCAGCAGCGTACAGACAGGAAGGATTTTGTCTCTCCCCCTCCCCTTTGGGTTTTAATGTGAGGGGGAACCGTATTTGTTCAAGGTTTGGGATATGGGACTTCAGTTCCAGTAAGAAAGGCCAGCTGGGGGGACTTGACTCAGAAGGGAATAGGTCGCATGAGGGGGCATTGATCCTGCTGTTTGTGCCTCAGCTTACTTGACATTTCATGCCAGGGTGAACCAATTCTAACCTCAAAAGAAGCTGCTGGATCCAGAGAAATTTCAGCTAAGCCTCTAGCAAACTCTCTTGCTTCTGGAAGTAGGACTACTCGACAAGATTGTAAAAGCTTCCTTTGTCTGTACAACTGAGAATGTGGTTTGGAAAAACACTTCAGAGTTAAAAGCTGTTCACTTTCCTTATAGAAATGGCTGTTTTTATAAATGACTTCAGGATTGCAGTGAGTGCTCATTAAAAATCCTAGATTTTGTACCTGTTTGTCAGTATAACTCCTCCTACATGTGTAAGACATGCGTATGTGTTTGCTGTCACCTCTTCCGTTCTACTTTGTGTGTCGCTGCTGGAACTGCACACGCTGAGGTAAGTGCGAACTGCCTTTGTGCCGCTTTGCTTTTCTGCCCCTACACAAAGTGCCTGGCAGTCCCTTCTGTTGTTGAGACAGGCAGCTTTGTCGGTAGGAAGCGTTGGCCGCCTCTGAACCCACCATGGGCTGCACCTTGCTTCCAGAAAGCGGCTGCCTGCCTGGTTTCCCAAGATGATCACTAAGAATCTGCCAGTGGGGGGGCAGGCAGCTAAAGGGGGCACAGGCTTCCCATGGGGGGGGGCATGTGTAGCCCAACACTGTGTCACTGAATGAGAGGTGGCAGCAGTAAAATTGCTCCCTTCTCCTAAACAACCACCCATGCAAGCATCAAAAGTGTAACGCTGTGAGGTTGAAACTTTGTGGTTGAAACTGTGAGATTGAAAAGTTAAGAAAGCTGGGCTATTTTTAGGTTGTTTTGATTATGTAGAAGCAAACCTGTATACTTACTATCGAGGCTAAACATTCCCTCCTTAGCCTGTTCCTTTGTTTGGTCAAACAATACATACCAATTTCAATCTCCTGCACGCCGGTTGGCATATTTTATTGCTCCTGTGCAAGAACGCCAGAAACCGCTGCTTTTCCTTTCAAAGAGATTAAGACAGGCTTTTGTGCCTGGTGTTTCCTTGACGTCTTGCTAAGAGTTTGAACAACGACAGCACAAGGAGGGATGACTCCTTACATGGTGACATTAAAATCTCTGATTTGTTGCATGCACGGTTAGAGTAAAGATGGTGGCCTTGATTCAGTTCCAGCAGGATAAATCTTGCTCTGCTTATAATCCAAAGCATTTCTTGGCAGAAAGCAAAGTTCCTTGTGAGAGGCCTGTAAGAGGAGCCCATAGGAAATGCAACTCTGCATCAGCTGGCGTTTAATGAAGCTGGGCTGCTGGCAGCCTGGATGACTCCGAGACCTTGGACATTGTCTGTCATCCTTTCTACTTTGTGGTTTTCAGCAGAGGGCACTTGTTGCACCCAAAATGTAAGCCATGCAAAAATTACTGTTGGAAATTGTGAGCTAGACAATGTCAGATAGGGAACAAAGTGACACCGAGCAGTATTTTAGGTAATCATTTTAATAGGCTAAATTGTCCTCTTAAAATCATAGGGTTTGTTAAGAATAGTTCCCATCCTTGCACCGATTCCAGTAAATGGCTAAAGTGGTGCTTTAACTCCTGAAATGACTTGGGCAGCTCTCCTGGGTATTTTGTTCCTAAATAGGGATTTAAAAGCTTTTAAAAACCAGTATTTTTTTAGTGTATAAATTCTGTTCCTTTTAAATGCACAACGTAAAACTGACACATCTAAAAGCCCTTAGCCTTGTGAGAGATTTCACCCCGAGGGAGTTTGCCATTTTCCACCTGCAGCACAAACACTACAAAGAGAAATCCAAACAGGCTACTTAAAAAAGGGGGGCGGGGGGGGGTTCACATTTCTTGAAAAATGTGTCTGTAGTACAGTAATAGATACACCAGCATTTACACACACGCCCACTCCCATGAAGAGTCCTATTGCTTATAAATAATGTCAGCGAGATAAGGTTTCTTATGCAGCCTACCCTTTCCACTCGGGATTTCCCATTTCCTTGTAGGTACCTGGCATCCTACCATGGTCTGAAGACCTGTTCTAGTAGTAAAGATTAGGCAAAAGTGTACAATTCAAGAGTGTCTGTGCGCCTTACGAGGGCAGGCAAGAGAAGTTTCAGAATAAAGGCAAAGTCAGATAGAAGGCAAGCCAGGATTCACCCGGTCAGCGTCTGCTTCAAACACAGACCCAGTCTGAATGGTTTCAGAATGCCAGACGTCTAGTGGCTGTCTTGAACTGCCCCCTCCCTCGAAGAGTCAGGACGGGTGCCTACCAAGCCTTTGCCCTCCACCAGAAATCTACGTTGCATCATGACAGCAAGAAACCAGCAGGCACCGGCCCGAATCCCTCCGGGAAGCAGAGATCTTGCAGCTGCTTCCTCGCCCTGCGGCTGCGACTCTGCTCAGTCCGTTCTCGGCCACATCCTAGAAGTTCACAACATGGGCCTGGTAAACACCATCTTCCTGTGCCGCCTACGCAAAAAAGCAGAGGGGAAGGGGTCCGGTGGTTATCGCCACCCAAACACATCATAGCTTAGCTTCCCTTTTTGTGTGATTGCAGTGCGAGGCACCGCGGCACGCACTCCTGGCCTGCTTGCGGGTTGCCCAGACGGGCAGCCTGCCCCAGCCCGCCGGCTGGCCACAGCGCAGACCGGGCTGGGCACGTCGTCACGCCAATTCACTGCGTGAAGAGCCTTTTTGGCATCTGCTCCTGACTGCTAATTGCAGTTTTACTGGGCGGGACTTTGAAATTCTAGATTTCACCATGCAGTTTTGTCTTGCTACCATTTTCGAAAACTTCTATTTTACATCTCACTTATCTAGGACATAATTTTCCCAAACTGCATCAGCCTGTCTTTGCAGGGAGATGCTCCCAACCACTGTAATAATTCCAGCACCGTTTCCCACTCTGAAACACCAGTTTTGAGGCAGGATGAGCGGAACTCGACCTCTAAAGGGAGTTGCTCCCTGCCTTCTCACAGTGGACTGTCACTCTTCACGGGAAGGGGATAATCAAAACCGCCGATCAAGAACACTTGATCTGCTGTCCAAAGCAAGTTTCTTAACCGGAATTCACACATCAGCTTGTGGCACCGGACAAGTCGGATAACCCAGCTGGAAATGATTCCCAGCCTTTGCTGTGAATGGGCCGCTCAGTTTTTTCCATCTGTGAGACTCGCACGCACCCCATTCCTCTGGAGTAAATACCTCGTGCTCGGGCTTGAAGCCATAGCCTGGTTTCTGCGCCACGGGGGGTTTCTTCAAAATGCCTGGTGGCTTCCGCACGGCACTCGACCTCCCCACGTCAGAGTTCTCGTCATAGATGCCAGCCAAAGCATAGTGTTGCCTTCTCAGCTCCCCCAGACGGAGCCTTTCATTCTCCAACGTCTTCTCCAGCTCGAGCACCTTCACCTGCAAAGAGAAACCTGTTGAGCTGCAAGGCAGGATGGTGACATCATTCCAAGGCAAGTGATCTTGTACCACAAGGCAGTTGAAGAGGCGCAGCCGGGCGGCCACAGCCACTCGGGCAGGCCAGCGGTGGTCCAGGTGCTCTCCTGCCTCAGCCTCTGCCAGGCGCTGCGTCTCTGCTTGGAACTGCTTCCTCACACAGCTACAAACATGGCAGGGAGCCTCAAGCAAGGGGCCAGAGCCCCTTCCCCAGCCACACGACCTCCAACGCTCATCACGCACTCGGTGGGGCCCTGGCTTTTCCACCACCTTGTCCCTATTTTAAAAAGCTGAAAGGCCTCTGCTGAGGTTTTGCTTTACGCTAAGTATGCTGGTGGTATTTGGGCAGAAGGGTGGAACCAAAACACTCCAAAGAAAGAAGCAAACTGAGACAACTGCAGGACTGTGTGGGGAGTGAAGTGGCTGCGGGCAGGTGGGCAGCGATTTACCTGAAGAATAAGCAACCTAGCTCAACGTCCAAGCACCGAAAGCAGCAAAAGTACTGCAGGACGGAGGGAGGGACCACACACACACGTGCGAAAAAGCATTTTGTCGCACTCGGCTCGCAGGGTGATTTTCACACGATCAATAAAAACGAGAGGGTATTTTTTAAAAGAAACACTGAAAATGTTTCCAGATGTAAAGTAAGGAGAGGTCATGCTTTGCTGGGTGTTGCTGGCTCTTCGGCTCTCGGAGTGTTTGGTTTGAGCAGCCATCACCACTTCTAAGATCAGCACATACCTGTGACTCCATTTCTTCCTTCTTGAGCTTGATCAGGGACATTCCAGAGAAGTCCATTGTGTCTGATTGGAAAAGAATGCACGCATTAACAGAAGCTGCAGATGCTTTCTGCAGGCGTGGAGAAGCGAAAGGGAAATGATTTCTTAAAGAGGAATTACTATGTACTGCCGGCCTCGCCGAGCCCCACCCTGGGGCGCAGGAAGGCATCTCCAGAAAGCACGTTGAGCAACATAGCAGGTGAGGCTGTGCAACCTCTACCAGAACGACTCTTGAGGGATGCATTTTGCACGCTTCTTGCTTTATTTTTCGAAAAGGCCCACATCCTGCCTCGTTCTGCACGCTACACATACAGGCTGGCTGCCAACACATCTAGTCCGGATCCTACAGCAATCCAAGGACCTGGGCCCACCTCTCATTTTATGGTGTGTGCTAGCTAGACGCTGCTCAGAAAGGCAGGGTGCCGTACGTTACAGCACGTTCTGTGCTTTTTCAGCAGCCGGACAGAGGCGTGTTTGCAGACATGGCTCTGCTCTGAATAGGGGACGGCCCCAAACACGGAAGCCACATCCATCAGTGAGCGAGGGATTCTGCTGTTGCCTCTCAGCCTCACAGGGCTGGTGTAAAGAAGACTAGGTGGGTGTGCCTCCCAAGCAGGAGTTTAAAAAAGCTTTCCAAGAAAGTAATCACACCATCATGACTGCATTTAATGTTGAAAATGCATTTAATTTTTAAATTTACTTTAGATTTAAATTTAAATAAAAATTAAATGCATTTCATATTAGAAACTACTTCCATGAGATGAAGTGATGGCCACCAACCTGGCTGGCTTCCAAAGGGACCTGGCTAGATTCTAGCACACCTCTAGTCCTGATGGCTGCACAACAGCCCGGTTGTCGGGGAACAAGCACGGAAGGCCCTGTGGCCTCCCATCACGCGGGGGCCTTTCCCAAGGGCACCGGATGGCCACTGTGCGAGCGGAAAGTTGGACCCTCCCCTCCACTCACCTCTGTCCTCAACTTGCTCCTGGCCTGACTTTGTGGAAGCCACGACATTGGCAGCCTTCTCGTTGACGGCCCGCGAGCACTCCTGGAGCTTGCTCAGGTTCTTGCTGCTCTTCTCGGCTTTCACCTAGAACCAGCAAGAGAGCGCTTGCCATTGCCCAGGGCATGGGGAACACGCACGGCCGTTTCCTCTCGCGTGGCACCACAGACACACGGTTTGCTAATTCAACCCACAACTCTGAACAGCAACTCGGGCTATCCTGGAGCCGATTGTTTTCAAAATCAAGATCAGGCGTGTGTCTCCATGAGGGACTTGCTCAGGTGAACCATGGCAGAATGCAGGTAGGAACCTTTCAGGCTTCTGTTTAAAAATGCAACTAGCTTCTAGCTAGTCTAAAGGCCTAGAGGATGGGGGGAAACAGAGTGAAGTCCCCTTTCATCATGGCCGCCTTTATCTCGCTCTTGCTAGAGTGCAACAAAGGAGCACAGAGGGCTGTGGGGGGGAGGAAGAAGAGCAGCTATGCATGGTGTCCCGAGCGGGGAGAGCGGAGCCCTTCCTTTCAAAGTGACCGGCTACCGCTAGAGTTGAGCCCCATCACATCTTTCTCCACCAAAGGCTGAACGTCCCGGAAACTGGCAAAGTTACAAAAATTAACCTTATCAACTCCTGAGCACTCACAGTGTACAGAACATTTTGCTTCTGCAAGCCACGAGGAAGGGCAAGGCCCCACCAGTGCAGGCAAACTCTGGATGGTTTTATTAGAAAGCGCAGGCCTGTGAGCGGCTGCCCTTCCTGTGACGATGTACCTTGGAGGCGGCCACCAGCTGAGCTGTGCTGGCTGCGATCTCGTGCGAACACACGATCAGTTCCTCGTATTTGCCTGTATGCAGGACCACTCTGTCGGCCGACTCTCTGAAGGGGGGGCAAAGCAGCGGATCAGCGAAGCAGAATGCACACCTTTTCCAGCCAGCGCCCACCCTTCCGCTTGCCCTCGTGCTGCGGCAGATAAAACAACAGGCGGCTCAGAAGAGGAAGCCGCCCGGCAGCCCAGATACCTACACCAGCTGGGTGGCTCCCCATCCGACAGCCTTGGAAGCCGAGATGAGCCCCTCGGTCCAGCGCGAGTTCTTGGCATAGAATTCCTGCGGCGTTGCTGCCCCCTAGTGGTCCATGGAAAAGCAAACATTCACATCTCACAAGAAGATCATTCCCGGAGCGCAGAAAAAAGAATAAAGCGTCTTGCGACCCCCTGAAGTCTAGCGCATTTAGTTTGGATCAAGCTTTTGTGGATGCGTGAATTCGCGGAAGTGGGCTTGGAGTCCCTGAAAGCGCATCCCATAATAAGGCCTTACTGTAAAAGCTGCCCCTGATGGAGCGCCTCTCCCAACCGCTCTCGACCCAGAAATGGTGGTCATCACACCCCGCCTGGCCCCTGCTTGCTTTGCTGTTAAAAAAACACGGGGCTCGCACTCACCCTTCCACCTTCCACAATCTCCTTCTGCAGATTCGTGGATGTCATCACGAGCAGTCGGATTGCCTAAAGCAGAGAAAAGCAACGAGCCACTTGATTCAATGGAAAGACTGAACCACAAACTTGGGACTAGTACAATAAAGTCCCCATTAGAAAATGCCTGACGTCACCAGAGGATGCCATTAGTGGCAGCGTTAACCTCAGGGTGAAGGAAGCTGGTCAACCATGCCCTGCTAAGTACCTGCTGACATCCGGCAGCAGACGGATTTTCCGTGTGCTGAGTAGGGAACTTAAAGTAATTAAAAAGGCTCTCACCTTCATTAGCTCCGTGCAGGAGTTTAAGATCCTGTGGAGAAAGACGCAAAAGATGCTTTATGCCTGCAGCTGGGCGACACCCTCCAATTTGAAATGAATATGCTTTTTAAACTGTAAATGCAAACATGAACCTACGGGGGCCAATTTGATTCATGTAGATGGCGCGTTTCCGTATTTATACGTGCTTTAAGGGAGCAGTGAACCACCGACGTGGGCCACTTTTAAACCTCCTTCTTTGCAGTGGTTGCTCCCAGAGTGCCAACAATATCATACAAATGACCACGAACATGGGGCAATGCCCCTTCATTTTCCCAACAGCCCTGCGGAGTAGGCAGGAAGTCAACTACTTGCCCAAGGACATTTTCCTGGTGAGCGTTGTGCTGGAGCAGTGGCCTGAAAGGCCCCAATGCTGGCCCTCTCTGACCACTCCAACAACTCCCACTGGGTCCAGCTGGCCATGGTTGGCTGAGGCCTGCCCTGCAGGGAGCTGTGGACCTCCTCCTGCCTGAACACACATGGGATTTTGCACCCTGAGAAAACAGTTCAGGGGATTCTTCGCAACCAGAGGTGCTGCGAGCGAGTCCAACAGTTTCTGTGCTCAAAGCACCTGCTTCCGCATCGCTCTGCAAAAGGCAGATCAGGTGACTGTGAAGCGCTGCCCCAGCTCACCTTTCATTTACTTCGAGTTTAACACCGGAGCTCTCGATTCTGGCTTGATCCATCATTTCCTGCAAAAGGGGGATGAGGAGGAAGACAGGCGCATTCAGTCCGATGTCACCTAGCGGGACACCCGATCCGGCAAGTCCCTCCCTGCCGGACCCGACAATGACCCGGCTCAGCTCCCGGAGCCCACAAGCGGGCGCCGGAGCCCAGTGGCCTCTCCCGATGCGGCCGTCGGTCGGGGCGCGCGGGGGCCTCCAAACAGGGCTGCTGGCTCTCAGGACCACCTGCCCCAGAGAAACCCTCCGTTTCCCATGATTCAGAGTGGGAAGAGCCCTGCAGATCCTCCGAACCGGAGCTCTTTAGCAGCCGGCTCACGGGACTTGACTACAGTGTGGCTCTCCGCCTCTCCCTCCCAGGCACTGTGACCGGCTTCCACACGACAACTCACACTCGGACCCTGAGTGCAGGTCATTGTGCTGCCTGAGCCGGGCAGAAAGAACAGCCACCCCCCCCCCCACAACCAGCAGCTGGCACCAGCTTCCATATGTGAGTTGCGTACTGTGTGGCACATCACGTGTGTGTGGGGGGGGGGTTAAGGAGGCTACAGAAGGAGGTTCAGAGATCCAGCAGCCTCATCCCACCTCTATCCTCCGGACCGCGTCCTCGATCGCCGCTGAGGTGGAGGCCATCTCCTTGTCGACCAGGTCGCCCAGTTCCTCTTGCCGGACATCCAGGCTCCGGGGCCGCAGTTCCTGGCCAAAACGGAAAAGCGGAAGAAACCACTGAGGCCTTGAAAGGGGAGGTGCAAAGGGAGGCCCTGTGTGAACGGCATCGGCCTTCCCGAACCTGGTGCTCTCCCATGTGATGCGACACCTGGAGGACAGAGGTTCGGAAAGGCTGCCCCGCGCAGGGAGCTGCTCCGCCAGGGAGTGACGGGCGTTCACTGGGATGCCTCCCCCGCCAGAGCCACCAGCGGGCTCCGCACGAGGGCCAGCAAGCCTCTGCGCCCACCCAGAGGGTGCTGTACTGGCCCCCAGGGGCTGCTCCCCCCCACCCCGCGAGCTGCGCTGCTGGCTCCACCTGTCCCAGCTGAAGGAGCCCTTGCAGCGTCTTCCTCACGTCGGCGGGATCGGCTTGCCGGAGGGACTGCTTATCTTTTAGCTTGCTCAAGTAGTCCAGACTCTGCTGCCCACAGTTCCTGCAAGTTTCGATCAGTTCTGGGCAGAAGGAAAAGAAAAGAAATGGAGGAGGGGGCCGAGGGCAGTCGGGGCTGCGGGAGGCCCAGGAACACGGTGCCTGAAAGACCAGCTCTTCCCACGGGAATCTGTCCACAGCTTGGAGCCCCCGTAAGTGCCCGACCTCCCAGAAAGGCAGTTTGGGGAGAGCGCCAGAAGGGCCTTCTGCGTGGCAGCACCCCAGGAGTGGGACCCTCTCCTAAAGGACGTTAGGCCGGCCCTGTCTTTATTCAGCTTTAGGTAGGCTGTGAAAACATCGTTCAGCAATTGTGCAAAAGGCAAAGGAAGCCACTCACTGTCAGCGTGGTCCGTGGGGGCGAGGTGGGACGTCGCGCTGCCGTTCACGATGCTGTCCGCGGTCAGGTGGGCAAACTGAGCCAGGGCGGTGACCAAGCCGGTGGCGTCTTAGGGAGCGAGAGACAGGGATGGGGGGCTTCACGCAGTGCACAGGAGAGCCAGCGGTGCTCGCCAAAACTGGGCTTAAACTCTCCCCAAAGTTGCGGCATTCAGCCAGACACACGCACGGCGGGCCGCGACGGCCACGATTCGCAGGCCGGCCAGGCAGCAGCGTCTCTCGCCCCGGGCTTCGCTCCCTCGCCGCCCGTCTGCACCCACTCCAGAAGTGTGTGTTGAAGTGGTGCTCAAAGGGACTAACAATAACACCCAGATCAAAAGTGAAATCCCAATTAAAGGATAGGCAAGTGTATTAAAAGTGGAATGGAAAACATAATGACTGAAGACATAAACAGTGCTCCGCTCAGGTAGCAGATTTTGCATGCCGAAGCCTGGCAGGAACTGGAGTGCCTTTGCGGGCGAGCCCTGCACAGACCGGCCTGGGGCTCCCTTTCATGGGGGCGGGCTGGAGGGGGCGAGAGACACTTCTGACGGAAGGCCTGGTGCAGGACGAGCCACACAAAGCTCGCTCGTGGCTTGCGGGGCCAAGCACCCGCCCCGGGAGGGGCAGTGCAGGGGCAACCCCGCCAACTGTATTTACCTGCCATATTGGCCAGGTAACACCTGTGCCCATTCTCCACAGCGTTCACGGACTCCAGAGCGGCCTGTGCCCGGCTGATGAGATAATCTGCAGAGCGGAAGGGAAGGCAGAAAAAAAAAGAAGCCGATAAGAGGGACCAAATTTCAGCTGCACTTCGTAGCGTGAAGGCCGGGCTAACTTTGGGGCGAGGTGCACTCCACGGGGGGGTTCCCACCCGCACCCACAGGAGGACCCCAAGCCCTGATGGGGGGCAGAAGGGCTCCAGTGAGCTGCTACCCACAGGGCAATAAACTTGGGGTGGCTATCTTCGGCCACGCTTAGCTCCCCGCTTCCACCGTCAGAACGTGGCCTCAGACACTGCGGGGCGGAATTTGGCACTGGGGCTGAAGCAGGCCTGATGCCCCTGCTCTCAGGAAGGGGGCCGTGCTCTTCAAGCACCCACCACCCCAGGCTGCCCTCCTGCCGTGGGTCTCACGGGCCCACCTGGCGAGCTGGTGCACCGGATGTGCAAGGGGTCATCCAGCTTCGCGACGGCGTCCTGGATGATGCTCTCGGCCTCCCGCACCGTCCCGTGCAGCATCCGCAGCTGGTCCTCCAGGAGCTTCTGCTGCAGGGTCCGCTCCTGACTTTTCTGAGGGACAGACCAGAGCAGTCCAAGCCGCATCCCCTTCCGGGGCTCACATGCCCCCCCCGCCGTCTTGGTGAGGCGGCCTCCCAGAAGAGCCCGGCCTTGCAGCCTGGCCCCCCGTCCCTCGCCACTCAGCTGTGCCACCCACCCGCTGCCCCACGACAGGTATGTTCAAGGCTTCCCCCCACCCTTCCTAGTGCCCAGTACCTTTTCCACAAGCTGCCCCTGCAGCTCCTGGACTTCCTTTGCCCCCTTCTCCACTTCCTGGCTCAACAGCAGCTCCTTCTCTTGGACCGTGCCCTTCAGAGAGACCAGTTCGCACTCCTTCTCGGAGACCGATCTCCTCAGCGTCTCCTTCTCAGCTTGGAGGGCTCCCAGCTGGCAGCCGAGGTCAGAACTGACCTGTGGAGAGCGAAGTGGAGGGGGCAAGAGAGGGTCCTGGCTCAGTGGCAAGAAATCCTGCCTGAGCCCATGGCGAGTGGCTGCTGCCGGCCTTTGCGGGCAATACTGGGCTAGGTGGCGCAGTGGCCTGCCAGAGGCTAAAGCAGCTTCTGATCTGTGCACGGTCAGATGCTGTTTGCATTCAAGATCTACGCCCAGCTTTTCCACGGCTACATATCTTCAAAACAGTATGTGAACTTGGGAAGATACAATCAAATAAGCGAACACACCATTTAAAAAAATGCCAGGAAAACAGGGGCTATTTTATAGATTTAATGCGATGCAGGCCTGTCTATCCAGCATATTGATTAATGGAAGAAAGGAGGTGGCCGAGAGGTTTGCTGACCCAAGTTTTAACTTCACCCCCCGCCCCGCTGCAAAGGCGCAAGCCAGCCCCGTAGCAGCCGCAGGCCCACCTGCTTGGCGTGGTCCAGCGAGTGCTGCAGCTGCGCCAGCTCCTCCTTCTTCGAGGCCAGCTCCCGCCTCACCTGCTCCATCTGCAGCGTCTGATCTTCCAGCTGTGTGGAGAGACCCGGCAGAGCTTAAGCCTGCGTGCAAAGCAGCCCTCGGTCCTTTCCGGGCGAGGGTCCCGTTTCAAAGAGAGCCGCCGCAGCTGCTTTCGCATACGTGGGCCTCGCACGAAGGGTTACGGCCGCTTAGAACGACGCAGCTGAAGAAGGGGCTCGCTGCAGACGGCGCGGAAAAGGTGCGCTGGTCTTTTCCCGCATCGAACCGGTTCAGGCATGTTTGCCGGGGGGGGGTTGCCAATGGCAACTAACCCCCCCCCCGAGCCTGGCCGCCAGACAGGGGGGGCAGAGCAACAGGCGATGGCCACCTCCACGGGTGGCTGCCCAGAGAGACTTGGGCTGGACGCAGCCAGGCGGTTCTCATCCCCCGGCTCGTGGCCCAGAGGACAACACCGTCAGGGCTGCCCGTGACCGAGGCGACGTGGGGCCCGCTCCGGGCCAGCCTTGAGCCTGCCGCGTCAGCCCTCCTCTCAGGAGACCTGCCCCTGCCCTGCGTCCAGCGCGCTCAGGAGAGGCCACCGCTGCTCCTGGCTCCTCCCCGCAGGCTCTGGAGAGGGAAACCGCCAGCCCCCCAGGCAGGGAAGCAGGCGCAAGCGTGGCCCCGACGGCCTCCGGTCCCAAAGGCCGACCTTCATCTCGGACTCGCGCTTCGCTTGCTCCATCTGGAAGGCCAGCTGCTCCTTGACCCGGGCGACCTCCTCCTGGCTCTGCTGGGTGACGGTCAGCTGCCTGGCCGTGTCTGCGTTCTGGGAACAGGAACACGAGTTGCTGCAGGCCAAATCCCCCAGGCCTCGAACGGACCCAGGAAGCAGCCCTTCCCGCAGATCTCTCTTATCTGGGGACACGGCAAGACTAGGCACAGCTTGCGGGGAGTCCAGCCCGGCCTGGGCCCAAACATTACTCAGTAGCACCCTCCTCCTCCTCCGTCTTTCACTGACGGGGCCAGAAAGCACACCAATCGCACGCAAGGGCCGAGTACAGGTTGGCTGCAGTTTTACGTACATTTCTTACTTAAACTTCTTACATTTCCCCACCTTTTCTCCTCCTGCAAGGAGCTCACGGTGGCTTACATGGTCCTCCCCTCCCTTTTATCCTCACAACAGTCCTGTGAAGTAGGCTAAGCTGAGTGTCATATACTAGCCCAAAATCACCCAGAGAACTTCATGATCTGGCAGGAACTAGAGCCCAGCCCTCCTGCATCCCAGTCTAACCCCTGCACTGCACCGAGTGAACCGCGGGTTGTTTCTGAAGCACAGGTTATCGCGTTGTCCGAACCTAACTGTATGGACAAGCCACAGCTTGTGAAGCACAAACCACCCATGAAGAGAATTGTGGGCTGTTTGCCATGGCTTGTGATCTCGGCACGGTCACCTGTATTCCAGCGACGACCCGTTGCCCTCCCATGCTCAGCGGGTCGTAGGCTGGGCCCGCACAACACGGCAACCTATTGTGGCCTGCAGCAGCCGAGCGGGGGCATCCTGGCCCCATGGCTCCGCCCTGCCACTCAGGGGAAACGTGCGCCAGGCAGCTGCAGCACGGCCTCCGCACGCCTTCCAGCGTCCTCCGAGGCTCGTGGCTACTGGGAGGCTCGCCGTCTGCGGCAGCACCTGGCCAGGTGTGCACGGAATAAGTCACGCCACCGAGGGTGGTTATCAGGCAAGTGCCCGGCGTGGGATCGGCCTGCGCGGAAGGGGGAAACGAGGTGCTCCGGCCGGCAACCGGCCCAGGGGCAGGACGCCGGCAGCGCGCCCGCCGTGCCGCTACCTTCCTCAGGAGCTCGGCATGGGTGTTGATCAGCTCGCTGTGCTTCTCCTTCAGCTTGGTGTAGCGCATTTCGGTGGCGCTGGCCTTCTCTGGAAAGGGAGGAGCAAGTCACGCTCTGTTTGTGAGGAGCTTCTCGGGTAATGCTCAGGTGCTGCGGGAAGGAGTGGGGACTGCTCCCCCGCAGGCAGGGCCCCACCTGGAGGCGCCACCTACTTTCTGCTTCCAGGTAGAGCCCTCGGCTCCTGTCTCCCTCCAGCTTGGCCTTCTGCAGCCTCTCCAGCTCATCCCGCAGCTGCTCGTTGTCCACCAGCGCCTTCTGCTTCTGCTTCCGCTGCTCTTCCACTTCCGCCTCCAGGCCATTGATCTGGGCCTTCAGCTGCGTGATGTACCTCTGGGCCTGAAAACCACCAGCACACCGAGACGGCGCATTTCCGTGAATGGGGCAGCGCAAGGGCGCAGCAGGGGCTCCTTCCGCTGCCCTCTGACCGACAGCGGGCACTGATTTCCAGAGACACTTAGACCGCTTGTGGGGTGGGACTCTGGCTGCATTGATGGAACGGGGCTTCCCTGCCCCCCCCACTGAAAATGCTGCACTACGGGAGCAGGAGCCCCAAGAATCGGGTGCGAGGCCTTCTACAGGCGGCGCTGTTTCAGCAAAAGCAGATCCAGTACTTTCCCGTCGTCTGCAGCATTGTGCCAATCCGTATCAAGTGGGCCCGGCAGCGAATGCTTTGGCTACACCCACCAATCCAGGTTTCGCTTGCGCGACAGCACGTTTAGCGTGGAGGATGACACTGCTGGCGCTACTGCTGATTTATGGCAACAAGAGAGGGACAGACGTTCCCTGTGGGAAAGACGCCCGCCAAACGCAGCGCTAAGGAGAAACGATCAAGCAGCTCGGCAAGCCAGCAGACTCAGAACCAGTGGTGCAGTTCTGACATAGTGGCTGCTGGCTTTGAGTCTGGTATATGAGCCGGGGTGAGGATTTCGTTTGTCTGAACACGTCATGTTAGTTATATTAACTGGTTTTGCAAAGTGTTTGCTAATATCTATGCAGAGGAATAGCTGAGATGTGAATCCTGGTCCTCAGAAAGCAAAGTCCATTTGCTGCTGCTCTGCAAAATTAAAGCAAATCTCGCGTCTTATACCTCAAGCTTGATTTTCTCTAGCTCCGCCCGAAGCAGATCAATCTCCTTCTTCAGGTTATCAATCTGGAGATCCCTGGGGACAGAGAGAATCATCCTGCAGACACAGCCAGTGTATTGGCCAGAACCGAAACAGAATAACTCAAACGGAGTAACTGGGCTGGTGTTGAACAGTGGTAAACAGCAACAACAGACAGCCTTTCTGGCTAACGGGGTGGGATGCGAAACTAAGAAAGAAAGAACAAATGAACGAGAGGCAGACGGTCGGAGCTCCAGGTCCTCCTGTCAAGCTGCACCTCTGCTGTGGATTCGACAGGGAGCCCTGAAGTCCAGAGTCCCCTCCGAGGGAAAAAAACCGCATGGGGACCTGCAACAACATGTTGCAGCACGAAGTGCTTCTGTTTAGGGGTCCAGCGAGCCCGATGTGCCCCCCCTCCGACCCTCAGCAGCCAGCCAGCACGCTCAGTCTTCAATGGGCTCTGTGCGGGGTTCCAGTCCCCCTCCTTAGGAGCTTTCCCTCTTAGGGTCTTAGCACTTCTTCAAAGCTGGGCTTCCCCCAGGCCTGCGTCCCTCCTGTGCTTGGGTGATGCCACTTTGGATGCACAAGGACTTGGAGAAAGGAGTTTGCTGCTAGATAAATGAGAGCGCTGGCCTACTCTGCAGGGCTGTTATGTGCACAGAGCTATCCCTTTTGAACAAACCAAGCACTACAGAAATGCTCGACCTCATTATTCAGATGCTGGCGAAGAGAAGCCCTCAGTTTTGCTGATAAGCAGCCTCACCTGTCATCCCGTAAACCGTTGGGAGGCCCGAAGGTCTGCTCAAATATATCGGACACATTCTGCAAAAGAGAAAAGGAATCAGAAAGTCTGACAGTGAGGGAGGGGGGCCTCGGATGCAATATGGGAAGGACACTTATATCGCCTGGGCCACAGATGGCAGAACGATACAATTTGACTTTCTTTTCTCTCCCTGAAATAGATAAAATGCAAAAGGTGGAAAGTAGGTTTTGAGGAACAATTTAAAGAGAGATCCGGCATCACAAAGGCTTTCTAGGGTTTGGGCGTTTAAAAAGTCCCCCTGGCCACGCTCAGAGTCACTCTCCCAACTTCCCCTCCCTTTCTGGCCGCCCTGCTCCAGACAGGTGAGCCCGCGCCACCCCTCACCTGCTGCTCCACCGTCGGGGCTGTGCTGATCTCAATCAGGTTCTCCGGTTCCTCGTCTTCCGGGGCTTCTTCCGGTATCACCACAACTGGCTTCACATGCTCTGCCAGAGCCGATGCCCGCAGGAAGTTGGGGGGACTCTGGGGCAGGGCAGGAAAAGGAGTCAGAGACCTTGGCAGAAAACTCACGTGCCAGACCATCGCCTCCTCCCAGGCCTGGCGAATCTCTGTATCAAGCCGTGTGCCTGTGTGCCCAGTTGCTGGGGAACATGGGCAGGATGGTGCGGCCTGTGGGATGTCTGTGGGGCCTTGCTTGGCTGCCAGGTGCACAGACACATGGGCCTTTCCTCTGACCCAGGAAGTATCTCCGCACATCCTCCAAATCGCAGAAAAATGCGCCACGTTCCGGCAGACACAGCTTCACAGGGTTCAGCCTGCTCAGTCAACTGGGGCCCTGTGGGTGGGCAGCTTTCCCCTCCCACCCCCCTTTCCAGCATTCCAGAGTTGCCGGACAAGCTTCAGCAGAATGAGAGACTTAGAGGGCACCTCGGGCAGTCGCGGGATCTGGATGAGCCGCTTGAAATACAGCATGTCTGACGCTCTTTTGAAGAAGCTTTTAAGGCTGCGGGGAAGGAAAAGGGGACGGGTCAAGGTGGAGCCCCCGCAGGGCCGGCCAAGTGATCGGAAGCAGCACGGCCCAGGCGCCTCACCTGCGAAACTGCTCGTGGAACCGGTCGCGATGGCCTTGCAGCGTGTCGGCTGGCAGACCTGAAGCAGCAAGAAGACGGAGGGAAAGGAGGGGGAGCCCAGGTCCCTTACAAAGCCAAGACGCTGGGCCACGTCTGAGCAGCGATCCCAAGAGGCAGAAGGCAGAAACATCCAGACCCTGGCCCCCCACCCCTAGAGCCCGTGCTTGGGGCAGGGTCACTGCACGGCAGACGCCTCCTTGCCATGCAAGTTTCCCTGGGTGAGCCCTTCAGCCCCACGGTGCTTTGAACTAGCGAGGCCGCTCTGTGTGCAGCTTCTGCCTGCAAAGCAGATCCCACACGATCACAGTGTGATCTGCCCCTACACGAACTGTGCGGTCCGTTCAGCGGCAGGGCAAACAGCTCCTTGAGCCTGCCGGCAGGAGCGAACCCAAGGGCCTGGGGCATCGTCTCCGCCCGCCCCCAGCGAGCGACTTACAGGAGTGCAGCTTGAACATCAGCTTGACGGTGTAGTGGTACAGGTGGCTGCAGTCCTGGATCACCTGGATGAGGGGAGCCAGGCGGCACTGGACGGCCGACATCTGGGAGACAGCCATGGAAGTGCTGAGCTGCCTGAAAACTGAGCAGGAGCAGGACGGAAGCGTGACTCCACCGCCTGCCTGAGACGCGCGTTTTCCTGCACTGCCTACAAGCCTTCAGCAACTACACGAATTTAGCTACGGGCAGGCCTGCCAGTCCACCGAGGCGCGGACAAAGCGGCAGCTCCTAACCAGGAGCAAAAGCTGGGTTGAGTGTGGGCAGCTCGTTGCCTGAATCGGGCTTTGCTAACAAACTGCGGCTTGTCAACTGCAAGCAAGACAAAGGCTACAGCCAAACACTGAACGGTGGATCCACTGTATGGATTGTTTGCAGCAAACACAGCTGGGTTTAGATAATGGAATAAAGAACCGCCAGCAAAACCCCCACAACGCAAACACCCACACCCAGCCCTTGGGGCCAGGCTGCCTGTGTGCAGGGAAAACAAGGGCAAGAGAGAGCCGAGGCAGAGGTACTGCTGCTTAATCACTACTGTGTGTTCAGTACGGCCTATTAAAATGCTATCCCACCTTTCCACGGCTAAAGAGGACTGCAGGTGGTTGAATTCTTCAAATGTTTTGGTTGAGGAAGCCAGAAACTGAAATGTTTAAGTAGGGTGTGGGGGATATTTGGTCCCCCTGATATGGTTGGACGTCAACCCCCATCAACCCCAGCTAATGGGCAGGGATGAGGCAAGTTCCAGACCGACAAGCTCCCGAAGACCACGCAGTCTCCCCAGGTGTGTTCTCCTGGCCCGTGCCGAGGCAGAAAAAAGACCTGCCCCTCCAGCTTTCTCCAGCCGCTTCCCCGTTGGCTTTTTTCCCGTGTCAGAGTTCCGTTTAACTCTTGCAGGGTTCACTTGCTTGCAGAAATCAAGAACTCATCGGCACCGACACGTGCGACGCGCAGCGGTTCCGGGCTAAGCCAAGCTGAGCTGGGCCAGCCATTGAAAGCGCAGGGACTGGGCACATCTGCTCCAGCGCACGCTCCCTCCGTGGGAGGACGGCTCGGCAACGCACCTCTGGCCCTCCAGCGAGAGGCGCCGGCAGTGGCGGCGGCGCACACCAGGGGGCGCTCTCCCGGAGCCCTGCTGGGGAGCCCCCGAGGCGCAGGGAAGGAGCGCGCCCAGGGCAGGGCGAGGGGCTTCTGCTTTGAGGGGCTTCTGCTTCGACCCCGCACGGCAACCTCCCTGCCGCAGGCCCACAGCCGAGGTGGGCAAAGGAAGAAGGCAGGCCTTGAAGGAGCAGGGGCACAGCAGCAGGTGACCAGGACTGGCGGCGGGTGTTCCCACCGGCCGGCCGGCGTTGTTTGCTCAGGCTGCTGCTGGGTGCAGCCGGCTTTATCATTAACTAGAAGTGTACACTGCTTTCCCTGCAGGCAGAAGGAAGGCCAGGTTCACATGATAACGCGGGGCTGCACGAGTGGAAGGGGAAAGGCGCCCCCCCCAGGGCAAGGGCACCCCACACACTGCAAGAACCTCGAAATAGCGCTGTGCTAAGAAATGCCACACAGGTCCCTCCAAGCAAAGAAAGGGTGCCTTTCTAAGCTTTTTCTAGCCCATGTCTACCTCCCGTGGCTAGAAGGTGCGTGCTTAAGCAATTATTAATGGCTTTCATGGCTGGTTGCCATCAGCTGCCAAGGCCAAGCGGGACACAGAGGCTTGCGTTCTGCCTCTGGAAAAAACGTGAAAGAAAGATGACGGAGTGGTTGTTTTTTGGCTGCTAACTGAGATTTCAAAGGAGTTGCATGATCTGTACAGGCTGTAGAATGCAGACCATCTTTGTGCGGAATCTATATGACACCTGGTTCCAAATTCTGAGTTCCTTTTCCTGCTGAATACACTATTTTGTACTCGATTTTTAAACCCATGTTTCCGGGTGTCCAACCTGTCAAAGTATTTGGAGAATAACCGATCGATCGCACTATAAACAATTAAGAACAATAAAGCAGCAAGAGCAGTCCATTAAAACACCGTGAGAGGTTGCTGAATCACCAAAAAGTGAGCAAACCCTTCTGGTTCTGTCCTTTGAACCCTTGAGCGGAACCCTTAAACATCAGTTTCATCCACAAGCAGCGGCACCGAGAAAAGGCTCTGCCTGCGGATTAAGCAGATGCTAAAGACACAGGAGCAAATCGAAAAGGGTTTGGGGATCAGCCGACAGTGCTGTACACGCAGGCAGAGGCAAGAGAGGGTGCTAAGCACTGGGAGGAGGACGGGGCTAAGCACTGACCATCGGGGGGGGGGGTGGATAACTCACCTGATTCCGACAATTTGAGTTCACAATCCATGTAGTCAAACAACTCGACGGTGAGCTGGAAGCTGCAGAGCAATTTTTTAAAGAGAGAAAAAGGAAAGGGCACAGAATAATGTTCTCAGAATAAAATAACAGTGATCAACCATCAAAACAGGCAAGCATCAGCCTCACAGTTTGGAGACAGAGTAACTCACGAACCGACCTTAGGAATGAATGGAGTAGATCTGAGTGTCAAACTGCCCATAAACAGAATCCAGGCCGTGCTGGACGAAGCATAGGCTGCACCTGGACAGCGCGACGGCAGGAACCAAGCTAGGCCCCCGATCCCTGACTCACACTGGGAGAGGCCCCCAAGGGGCGCGGGAGTCCCGCAATCCATTTTTCCAGTTGGCTTGTTTCAAAGAAACCATGGTCAAGCTGGACCAAAGTTTCCTGGGGTCAGATGGCATGGCAAGCCACGGTTAACCAAAATTGAAAGGAAAGCTTCTGAGCGGCTCTTTGCAATGACGGTGAAGGCCGGTATTTTTTCCAACTCCAACAGTAACCAGGCTGATGCCCCTTGAGACTCTCACAAGCAGAATATGAAGATGCTGCCTCTGAGATATACTGTTCCTGAAAATGGGGCTCTATCTCGCCAGATGGGCTGATCGTGGTCAATAGCCTTACCTTCTGTTGGTTGGCATCTTGTTAGCCACCAGCCAAACGCAGAGCTAGAGGGCAGCGGGCATGTGCTGTGGTGCTCTTACTTTTCAGCACAAGCTGAAGCTGCAGACACCGCTCTTTTGCTTAACCTCAGAGGTTTGGCTGCTGAAAGCTTTGCCCTCGCTTCGCCTTCCGGCAGGCAAGCCCATTTTGGCAGGAAGACGGCAGACGCTTCAGTCAGCCTTGTGGGAGGCTTTCAGCTAATACAACAGGGTAGACGAACGGATGTCCTCCAGACGTTTTGGACCACAGCTCCCATCAGCCCCGCCAGCCTTGGCCCACGGCAAGGGCCTGGGAGTTGCAGCCCAGAGCATCAGGAAGACACTGGGTTTCTCATTCCCATAATAAGAGAATGCGCGAAAGGCATCGCCGGAGGGCCTGATGAAGACGACGGACCTGCCAGTCGGCTCTCAGTTTGCGATCCCCAAAGGCAGAACCACACCGAGCACATTCGGCATCACGTCTGACGCCCCCCCCCGGCAGCTGCAGCAGGTGTGAGGGGAGCCCGGGCGCGCCCCGTGCCCCCAAAGCCCAGGTCCCATCCCGCCACCCGGGAGAGGCGGCGTGCCAGCGGACCATCCCTCCGAGGCACGCGGGGAGGCGTGGCTGAGGGCCAGTCCCCGGCCAAGTGTGCGCACGGGCAGGCGGGCGCACGCGGCCCCGCGAGCACCCGAGCAAAAAGCGTGCCGCCCGTTTCACCCCGGGAAAAACAGGGCAAACAACACGGCGGCGCAGCGCAGCGCAGCACAGCACAGCACGCCCTGTGACCCGGCCTCGGGCTGCCAGGGTCCGGGCGGATCGGTTCCTGCTGGAGCAAGGCAGCCGAGACGTGACCTGGGCGCATGGCCAAAGCATGCTCAGTGCGGTGCGTCTCACTCTGGGAAGGCTCCGTCGACGCCCGGAGAAGAAAGGCAGCCATTATGCTCTGTGGGGCTGGGAGGGGCGTGCGTGTGCGCGGGGGCGGGGGGAGGACTTACATGTTATTGACATCTGTTCCAGCAGCTTTTTCTAGGACCTCATCCGTCACTTCGAGGCTTGGGGGGAATTCGGGATGCTTGGGAAGAAACGGAAACGAGAGCTGGGCATCTAGGACATTCCTGCCCAAGAAGGGTGCCCCCCCACAGCCCAGGACACCCCCGACACCCCCAGGGGCGCAGGAGGCCTTGGTAAGAACCAGCCCGAGCGAGCGCAGACGCCATCCTGCAGGGGCTGGTCCTTGAGCTGGGCCTGCCCCCACCGCAGGCCCACCCCTTTCCAAGTGCAGAACGGCACAGCTTGACACAAAGACCCGTCGGAGGACTGCAAGTGGCAGGGTGGGGGGGGGGCACTGCCAAGTCCGCAGCCCAGGAAACAGGACACGGTCCCACGCGTGTTCAGACAGAAAAATGTCCCACAGCCCCCAGAGAGCACGCCTGGTGTGGTCATTCTTGGGTGTGAGCTTGCACAGGATTATAGCTTTACTATCTTACAATATAGACGTGTAAAGTTATTCAAGAGGTGGAGAACGTGGACGGGGAGAAGTTTTTCTCCGCTCGCAGCCCTAGGACCTGCCGGAGTCGTCCCATGAAGCTGCCTGGCGGGAGACTGAGGAAAGAGGGCCAGAAACCTCTTCCTAAAAGACGGAGCGATGGCGAGGGCCACGAGGGCTGACTGGCCTGGCTGGCCGCCCGCGACCTCCACTACTGAAGGCAGCATGCAGATGCAGTCCAGTTGCTGGGGAACATGGGCAAGAGAGTGCTGCTGTGCTCCTGCCCTGCTTGGGGGATCTTCCGGGCAGCTGGTTGGCTGCTGTGGGAGAAAAACCCTGGGCCAGGAGCCGCCTGGCACGGCCCAGCACAGCTCTTCTTGCCTTCTCGTGGGCCTGCCCTTTGCACGAATGCCCTCAAGACATTTCTCCTTCCTGCCCCCACCCCCAATTCCTTCCTTCCCGGCTGCTTTTACGCTCCTGATATGTTAAAGGAAGGAAAACTCATCTGGCCATTCTGATTTTCAAAAATACATCTGGAGCATGCGAGGTCTGATCATTTAAACTCACTAAAGTCATTTCACAGCAGTGGCTTCAGAAATAAACGGTGCTGCCTTCCGCTGCCCTGATAGTATGCACAGTTACTTGGGAAGAGGCTGCACGGCGTTGAAGATAAGAACGCTGTATTTCTCAAGTAAAGAACAGTAAAAGGAGCATCTGCAGGCAGGGACGCGCCTGGCTAGAACATGCCTTGCTCTAGAGCCTGTTCCAAAATCAGGAGAGGGATGCTGTGGGCCGGGCAGCGTCAAGTTGGCCCAGAAGCTGATGCTGGGCCAGCTGCCCGCCGCTTCCATCTCTGCTGGTCCTCTGGTGGGTCCTTTGGGCCGGCCTTTCCCTGAGCTGCACAGCCGCACTTTGGCCCCGAGCTAGGACCAAAGAGGAGAGAGGAGGGGAGCCGTAGGAAAAAGAATTACCTTGAGGTGGAAGGAGATTTTGGTGAGCAGAAGTTTGGTATAAATATTTACAAGCTGGCCGTAACGGTCGTGTAGGTGGCCCTGCCGAGGGAAGAACACGTGCACCTTCTTTACAAGCAGTAGCAGGAGGGGGACATGGCTCTGCCAGCAGCGCCCCTGGACGGCGCCCTCCTCTTCGAGAGCATCGCCCCCTCTCCACGCCCGGCCCAGACGCTCGGGGCCACGCAGGCGAGCCGTGCCGGGCCTTCCGGGAAGGAAGGAGGCCGGCTGCTTTGACCCTGCCCTGCACAGGCCGCCTGCCCGACTGGCCCACCAAGGAGGGGCTGGCCAGGTGTGGGGCTGAGCAGGGCCCCTGAGCCGCTGTCCTACATTACGGGGAGCCACCAGGGGAGCGTGCTCTGTCTCGGCAAAACAAGGCCTGCAGGCTGCGTCCGGCCCTCTCGGGGTCCCAATCCAGCCCACCGGGCTCTCCTGCACTGCGACTCCCCCTTCTCTTGGTGCCCCTCTGCTCCGAGCATCCATTGTTTGGTGATTCTCCGGCTTTTGCAGGTTTCCCCCATTTAATAAGATTGGAATGCTTCTTCTAAGGCTTAATTGCTGATTGTTAAGAGCTTTAAGCTAAAATAGAACAGACTGTTTGTGCATTTCAGGTCTTCTGGCTCCTTTTGCTTTCAGCCGCGCCCGTCACCAAGAGCTTCCCCAAAACTGGGGCAGTCCTTCAGGCTGAAAAAGGTCAACTCCTCTCTTTCAAATCTAAGGCCTTTGAAGAAGCGGAAGCAGGCGATGCAGGCCTTCAACTCACCCAGAGGTCTCCAGTTTCTCGGATGTTACTTCGATACCGCTGGCAATCTTGCAGAACCTGGGGAAATGGCACATGAAGAAGCTCAGCAGCGCGGACTCAGCAACACTGGAAACACAAAGCATGGCCGACTGATCCCGGCCCTCCCCAAAGAATGGGTGAGCCAAGGCAGCTGGGCAGAGCAGGCCGCAACCCGGAGGCAAGAGCCAGCAGAGCGAGTCAACGCAATGTGGGGAATGCAGATTTCTCCAACAGACGTCTGGCCATCATCATCCTCAAGACGGGCTGCAGGCCAGACTTCGCACAACTCTAGTGTATATTCCGGAAGCCACTTGAGGCAACGCCTTTGGGTTGTGGGACCGGAAAACAAGGAATCAGTTTCTTAAGTCAATGTTTCCCAGTTCCATGTCTCTCATTATACCAGACGGAAAAGAATTTCTGAGTGGGCTTTTTTTCCCCCAAATGAGAAACACAAAAGGTGCATTGTCCCACCTATAGCATGGACTCAGCACGCAGAGCCATCCCCTTTCGCCAAGAGCTCTGCTGACACTGGCGGCTGGCAGGGGGCCAGCGGACTTACGTTCGGATGCCCGTCCCGGAGGACTTTATGGAGGACGTGGCAGAACTTCCAGCTGAGGATGGCGCTGCTGGGCAGCGGGAGGCCGATCGCATAGGACCAGAACGTGAACGCTCCCTTCTCGTGATGAGTCCCCAGAATTATTCCTTCGTGGGTGTCAAGGCCAACTTCAAAGAACAGCGAGAGGAGGGCCACACGGGGCCGGCAAAGGGAAACAGGCCTCAAAATATTTATAAATCAGGGAAGAAAGTCTCTGTTGTCAGCAAAAAAGGCAACAGAGTTGGAAGCCCTGTGCTGAAACTCCTGTCCAAAGCACTATAGTCTGGCATCGTGGCATCGGGGATTCCTTTGCCTCCCCCACTGGCAATTAATCAGGCCATGCGAGCGAGTGGGGAGCTCAGGCTGCATCGTGTCACCGAGGCGTGTTCTGCCACGGCTCACGCAGGGAAAGGACACACCTCAGCATCTGACCTCAGACCTCTTCCCCGTCCAAGGCCTGCCTCATCAGGAAAAGGCAGCAAATATAGATGAATATCTAACATCTGATTACCACCCCCATACATTTTGTGAGCAATAATATTTCTACCATGCTTTTTAAAATACACATTTAAAAAGGAGCAGAATGCTCCAGGGACCTATAGAAGTTCTCATGTTAGAAAGAGTGGGGGAATTTTAAGAGTCATTCCAACGTAGCGTTTATTACTCCCTGGATGAATTTAGCAGGATTCCTGTGAATACATAAACATGCAAAGCATAGAACAAATTTGATTATTCAGGGTGGGAGGGAGTCAGGAGAGAACCTGTGGACTCATGCCAAGTTCGACTCATAAACAATGCGCATACACAGTGGATCTTAGTGGGGGGTTTTCTGTCTGTGTGGGTGTAGCGAGCAACACTTCTGCTAGGGCCTTGGCCACGGGAAGCACGGAAATCGATTGTCCAGCTGTCCATAAGGTTGTTCTCTCCCCTCCTGAAGGACTTCTGTTTTTAAACTGGTTTGTTGTTGAGGGTTGCTTTGTATGCCGTAACTATTTTAATAAAACAGTAACATGCTACTGCCTTTATTCCGTCCATCCCTTGTCACCTAGACTCTCTCCTTTCCCCAAGCATCAGCTGCCAAACATTAAACTGTAGGCTCCTTGGGGCAGAAAACAGTTCCTTACTAGCTTGCTTGCTTCGATTACTCTCTGAGCCCCCTCACATGCTGCAAGCATTCTGCAAACAGAGAGAGAGAGAGAGAGAGAGAGAGAGAGAGAGAGAGAGAGAGAGGGAGAGAGAAGGGCTTTTCTCCACGAGGCTTTTCGCCACTGTTCTGCTTCTGGATTCTTTCCAAGATTAAGAAAGGCTCCTTTACATAGGCTTCCCCCCTCCAGGAGTTTCTTCCTCTGCCTTCTCAGTCTGGAAACGGTGAACAGAAATGCCTGAACAGCACAGGAGGGGCCCTGGGGGATGACAGCATCCTGCAAAGCAGCCGCAAGCAAACCTGGGCGAGCGACCAGGTGTGCCCAAGGGACGGCCTCGTACAGAGAAGCCCTAAAAGGTCTGAACCTCAAGGAGGCAAGGGAGCACAGAGCACACAGAAGGAAAGGATACGGCGGGCGTGTTTCTCTTTTAAAGGTGCTTCCAGGGTATTGATGGCTTTGCTGATGCTCATCGCCTGGCAGGGAGAAAGAAAAGCGATATTAGGAATAGCATCAGCGCCGGCTTCACATTTCTAGCTATCGGTTCCCACTTGTTAATAAGCCCCCTGCACATGGGCTTCTGGGCTTGCTCATTTGCTAAATCGGCACTTTGCCATGTTTTTCCTCTTGGAAAAAAACCAAACGTAGCTCATGCGGTCCCCGCCTTTCCATTTCTAGCCTCACTACAACCTGTGAGGTAGGTTAAGCTTAATGGACGGGTTATAAGTGCAATATCGACGGGGTTAAAACGCTCGCACGCCTGGGGAAGTCACTTGACAACCACGCCATCCAGCCGCAGTTGAGTGAGGAAAGGGGGTCACCTGGGCCAGGGCTTTCCTCCTCCCCAAAGCACTGCCGTTCTTGTTTACTCAAAGCAGCATTTCAAGTCAAAGTGTGCGCTTTAAGGTAAAATATTACCCTGGCTGAAGCTCGGTGCAGATAGCAAGGGGGAAGTAAGGCAAGTTTCTGGACTTTACCCTAGGAATTACCTGGACAGAGGAAGATTTTTTGATAATACTCTTAGAAAGAAAAGTGAGGTGGATGGGGAGGGAGGTGGCATTCGGCAGGAGCTGCTCAGAAGAGGAAAGAGTGGTGCTCGAGCCTTTTCTTCACTCCTGGCCACACCAAAAGTGAAGCACGCAACATTTCTGAAAGACGCATAAAAAGAGCCCTCCATAATTCGGCAGAAATTCCTGAAGAAGATCTCTGACTAATCAGGAACTTTATTAGATGGAAGATGGAAACAAAAATCTATGGCCAAACCCATATTTTCAATGGTTCCATGGTAAATGTTTCCTGAACTGGTTATGAACGGTGCATCCTGGAAACACGTTAGGAGAAAAATCCCGGGTAAACGTGTCCTTCCATTTGTGGTGAAAAATAAGGGGGCCAGACTGGAGCTGAACTCAGATCCCTGCTCAGACACAAACCTGATTTGCTGTCTCTCAGCCTAACCTACCTCACAGGGATGTTGTGAGAAACATAAGACGGATGTCTGCATTTACACTGGCCCAAACTCCTCAGGAGGAAGGGGACGATTCAAAATGACACAAGAGAATCATTATTCCCTGCAAAATTTAACAGAGGGATCCAAGAATCTTGTTCCAATCCAAACAAATATACCAGAGGAGGGCAAATTTTAATTCCTGCCAGACACATGAGCTCCCCTGGAAGCTTTGACATGCTTACCTATTCTTAATAGATCCCCAAGTCTCTCTGCTTTGAACATAAAATAAAAACCTAGGCGTGCTTGCTGAAAAACCATTTGTGCTTAAAATACATATAAACGGAATGAAGTCCTAGATAGATGGATCGACTTGGAAGGACAGCTGCTTTTTTAAGAATGAAAGCTGCCATCCTTTAACATGTGTGTGTGTTCGCCCACGGGTCCCATAACCAGAGGCTGTTGGTACAGTCTTACGCCTTGCTTCCAATCTTATTTGGAAGCAAGTTCCAGTTTGCTCAATGGGGCTTAAACTCAGGTGAGCACGCATGTGACTGCAGCCTTAGTCACAGGAAAAGAGTGATGTGACCTCCATTTGGAAAACATTCCCGTCCCAAAAATAATCACCTCTTTGCCTGGCCTGACCAAGGTTACTGGGTGCAGTACACACCGAGAGAGAATTAATTGCAAGTTGAGCAGTCTTGATTTGGGTAACTATTTGCTTGGACTGTCATTAAGAGCTTCCAAGGATCCTCCGAGCTTCAAAATATATTTTGTATTCTCCCCCTTAGGGAAGGTGGGGGGGGGGGGCAGGAGAGACGTCCCTGCAGCACGTGGCCGGACCTCAGCACATTTCTGAACCACTCACTAGATCTCGAAAGATCTTACTATGAAAAAATGCCAGAAAGCCTAAATATTTGTGTGACTAAAAAAGGTAACAAGTTAAGCTGTACTTCTGAACCTGCTATAATAATATATATTATTGCAATTAGGTATCTAGCACCAGAATGCACAACATTCCACAGCTCATAAAGTCCCTGCCCCCATGGAGCATACAATCTCATTTAGACAACAGGGAAGGATTTCATTCTGGAGATACCTGAGCACAAAATGAAAAGCTTGCTGCCTCCCGGTTAAATATTGCCTCTCTGCATCACACAAACAAAATCACACACACACGAACCCCCTATTCCAAGGACACATATGATGGTCACTGCCGTTTTACCCTCAAATGCAGTTTCCGGGTTTCTATCAAGACATTAAGGGCAAGACATTTCATGCAATAGTTCAGTGAAGGAGAAACTTTCAGAGACCAAGTGCCCAAACTGCAACCCAAAACCCATTTCCTTATAGCAAAGTGCCAACACTGCAATCAAACCTGAAAACTGAGGTTTTACTTTAGAAAAAAGACCTCACCGCCGTCCCAAGCAAATCTCTCTCTCTCTCACTCTCTCTTTGGCAGCATGCTGACACCCCTCACCCTAATAGAGGGCAAAAGGTCCATTCAAAACAGGGTGATTTTGAAAAAGCCTTCCCTGAGTAGCTTCTTCTGCACATCTCATCATTTCTTCCCATTCTAAACACATTCCAACCATCAAAACCGTGCCAGGACACCTCGTTTTCCTAACCCTAACCCTACCCTGGTGCAAACCCCTCACCCTAATAGAGGGCAAAAGTTCCACTCAAAAGGGTCATTTTG